TCTCATGCTCTATTACGCCACTCCAATCATTTACAGTTCTTACCGGCCTTGGTTCATGTAATATTTTAATGCAAATATGCTTTACCATGACATTTTATGTAAAAAGGAAAAAAGTTTCCATGTTTCTGGCTGGTGCAGTATCCATTTGAGGAGCTCACTAAAATCAGCCTCTTATTCCCTGGGCTGGTCTCACTGAATGGGCACTCTTTTCCCTGGTTGGTTAAAACACCTCCAGAAATTAAAAAAAATAAATAAAAAGGGGGGGAGGGGGGAAGAAACGAGGAGGGCTAATTAAACTTCCCTAGAGAATGATTTTTTTTAAAGATCCTATGTGTGATAAACCCACCTAAGGCAGAAACACCGATTCCCGTCCCCCTACCTCCAGTCCCCATGCAAATCTACATCTGAGTAACATTATTTCATTACGATTCCATTTTCCAACCTGCTTTGTGCAGTCAGCAAGTGTCTGAATACACAGCCACTTTACTGCTCCGATGTAAACCGTTGCGGAGAAAGTGGTCTGTCCATGCCACACCACCTTTCAATTGTGTATATAATTTTATAAATGATATAAAATCTGCTTCTAGTCCCTGAAAAAAAGAAAGAAAAGAAAAGAAAGGAAGAAACACAAGCATGGCACACTGCAATTTTGGAAGGATTTAAAATATGTGATTTCTGCTGGTACCTACTGTATTGGGTTTTACATAAAGCTTTTTTCAATAAGGTAAATTGTTACATGACAAACTCATCTCCCACCATTATCATCCGCTGTTTGTGTTTAACAACAGGAGTCCCGCGCTAACAAAACTGTTGTAATGGCTGCACAAATTACTCAGCTGAAAGCTTTCACCAAACAAAACAGTATTAATCAGCAGTTCTTACGAAGGTGCTAATTAAAAACAATTTTCTTCCTCAGTTTGCAATACTAAAGCCATCTTCACTTGCACAGTTTCCAATATGCAGCTACTGTATTTGCTCACACGTCAGGCCCTCTATTAACTATTGAATCTCCTATTAGCCATTTCATTACATTTCTGTTCCCAAGCTTGTTGACATTTAAAAAGTCACAGTATGATCTGTTTTGTCTATTAAAAAAATGTATTAATTGAAAAGTCACGGGGACAGAAAAAAAAAGAAAAAGACAAAACGTAGACTCCAGGTGAACAGATTTCCAGGGCAGAAGATGCGGGGAGCATGTAGCCACAGCCCGTGCAGTGAGCTCTCTGGGTAAAAAGACATCTGAGGAATTAAAATAGCATTTCAGGCTTCCTGAACCCCATCAGGCTCCTTCCTAGTTTGGAAATAGTGCTCTCAGGGAAAGATATTTGCCCTCTGTCAAAATTCAGTTTTGAAGGAGACCTAGTCTTCCTTTCAAATCAATCTTTCCTCCATGGGATGCAATCAGCAGAAGACAAGACACTTCATACATACAGTCTGAACTCAGAGTTTAATTCTGGGGTGGAGCCTGGGACCTGGAGCCCAGAACTAGAATCTAAACAGCTTCATCTTCCCTGTAAGTGTGTGTGTGTGTGCTTATGGCCACATAGACTTGGATTTCCGCATGGCTAACCTGCTCTCTACCCTCCTCGGTCCTGCTGGGCAGTGCCACCAAATTGTTTGGTGTAGATTGGAAACCAGTCAGATGTTGACTAAGTGCAAAGACAAACTCCTTGGAAGCTGGGCTGGGGGGAGAGAACAGCCTATTTCTATTTAAAAACAAACCCACAAGTAAAAAAAAAAACAAAAAAAAATCACCCAAAAGTCTAACCCTGAGGGGAAGGCATGCCCCATTTTGATAGTGGAGAGAAGAAAAAAACAAAACAAAACACCACCGCAACCACCTCCTGCCTGTGGCATTAAAACCGGGTTCAAAAGCAGTTAACTAGTTTAGGACAGACACCTGGCTGCTGCAAAAGGGCTCCAGAGGGCCACTAATCCTTCCATTCACTCCGTTAACTGCTGGGTCCCCCAGATTGATTCAACAGGTATGCAGTGGTAAATTCAGCCCCTACGGAAGCCAAAGGGGAAATCAGCAAGGGGCAGGCAGCTCTTCTCTGAAACACCCGAGGAACCAGCCAGAAAAGCTTTTATGCCCCAGACAAGTTTTCTGCTGAATACTGAGCACCTAAATTACCCTTCCCTAATGGAACTTACATTTTCATGCTCAGTCAAAAAGCCAACAAAATACACAATTTATACAAAATAGCATCAACCTCTTAGGTAGTCTTTTTGAGCGGTTTTATCCCAATTCACAGCATATGTCCTGCTATAAAATAAAATATATTTCTTACAACCAACTTATATGTGGCTGTTCATATCGCCGCATTAGAACTGACCATGGGTGGTATTAAAAACATTCTCACATCCCCCGCCAGATCTATTTAGCATGACAAAGGAAAAGGAGGAGTTTTAGTAGAAGATCTAGGTACAGGGGCAAGGGAAGTATTATGATGATTCTTATGATTTGCTAAGTAGACAGGCTGGTTTTTGAAACAAACACGCGCATAATTACATAATAGACAATTATGGAATGGGGCATTTCAATGCAAGGTATACAACCCAATACCAATGCATAGAAATAATTCTTAATTATGGAGCTCAAAAGGAATGTAAATGGATCAACTTTCCAAAGCAGCTATATTTCCCCCTTCTCAATATTGGGATTTCATTAAAATGTAAGAAAAGAAAAGAAAAGAAAAGAAAAGAAAAGAAAAGAAAAGAAACCCCATCACTGTTAAATTATTCAATAATATACAACATTTGTTTCTCAAAAACATCCAAAGAACCTGGCTAGAGACATTTCTGGATGAGGATCCCATAAAGGAGAGATCCATGAAATCCTCAACAATTTACAGGAGATTCTCTAGGTTTTCATCACACAATAAACACATTTGTTTACTTGGTGTCTCTTGGAAGGAACAGCTCAATTCTAACACTGTCTTGAGCTGAGGTAACGGCACACACTCTTCTTAGATACGAAAAAGATAAAAATACAAACAAATTGCTGGTTTACCTTTTAAAATACGATTTCTCTTAGAGAAATAAATACTGGATTTCTACACCCACAACGCACAAATGCAAATTGAATTCTTGCCAATTCATGTATTTTCATGAGGGGGGGGGGAATGGAAATAGTCTCATGATTCTGCTGTTCTGTATTTTAAAAGAAAAACAGAAAGAATAGACCATATTAGGTGCTACTGCGGAGATGGGCTTTCTTTGTCTGGCAGATTTGGTTGCAGGTTTTACAGAAGAAATAATTCCTGCTGTATCTCCGCCAGTACAAATGGAACTACCTGTGTTGCCTTTTAAAACATTCCCGATTCTAATTTTTAAACAAGAAAATATGAAGGCAGTGTGCTACCTACACAGTCGCCAAAAGAGAGCTGCCACTAGCTGAACTACTCAGCTAAATGGCTGGTTTGCATTGCCCTGGTCTTTATCTAGCACTGAGAATAGACTGCTGTTTTATCCAAAGAGGAACAAATTGCTGTGATTGTGATGTTAGCCCATCACTTGGCATTGCAATTCAAGTTTTTGTGAGCAAGAAATGTACGATCTAACTGCGACTTGACCTATGCCTTCCGAGATCCATCTAGGTGCTCTAATGGAGCAGAAAGAGTGGTGAATACAAGGACATGCAAACTGATGGTGAAAAATTTGTTTGATGATAAGAGGCAGCAGAGAAGACATTTGAGAGTCGCTGTTTTTATGATGGCTAAGTTTGTTTAACATGCAAAAGGATTCCCCTCCACCCCCCCCCACCCGTCCCCAACTCAGTCTCCCTTTAATTGCATCACACTAACTACATGCTTATAAACATAGGAGCATGTAACCTATGAATGACATGACTACTAATGTGAGAGCAGATGATTCTTCACAGATAAACATCTGAATTTTCCACAAAAGGCATTAGGGCGTTTCTTGGATGCACGAGACAGGAAAATGCTTGGGTTCCCTGCAGAAAAGGCATTCTCTCTTAATCCCAGGTAGCACCTTTTAAATGTTTACTACACCCTTGAATCATAGCATTTAACAATATATACTCACTTTAAATAAGATAACGGCGTGATTGGGTTTTTAAAACTCCCGTGGTTGTGGTTTAGTTTATCAACCATTTATTCAAAATCTCTCTGGGAAGGACCTATTTTTGAAAGAGGGCTGGTGAACAGCAGCAGTTAGATGTGAGCCCTGATAAAGGCTCACTTTTCATTCATAGTCAGAGCCTAAATGTGCTCTTCTTGTACCTAAACAGATAATAAGCACTCAGCACACTCCTCCTCCTTGACACAACACATTGAGACTAATCACACATAATTGGAGAGGAGGAGCAGAGGGCTGGCCACGCTATTGTGTCCAGAGGACAAACGGTCAGTTTATAAGGCTTTGGGCTGATGGAGTCATTTCTTATACATCTACAGGGAAAAAACCGTCCAGTTTAAAAGGGAAAAAAGAATGAGCAAGGGAGCCAGGAAAAGAGATGGCAGCTTAACACAAATTAATTTGAGGGAGATCAGAAAGATATGCTTTTTTTTTTTTTATTATTAACCAAGATAGAATCATCATGTTTGCGGTTTTATACATTAAAGACAACTGCCACCAAATGGAACAAAGACCAAGGTATTTTTTTTTTTTTAAATAGGGGTGGCAAACACCAAAGGAAATTCTGTTTCAATTAGAGGCAAAAATATTTAGGGTGCTTAAAAGTCCAATTCAAATAGCAGAAAGGCTGTTTATAGGTATTTAAAGACAAACAAAGGTTTAGTGCAGGAAGAGCAATAAGCAGACTGAAAAAAAAGAGAGGACCAGGGAGGCTGGGGAATAATGTGGGTGAGGGCAGGTGGGCTTCATAATCATACGTGGAATGACACCAAGGTGGTGGTGGTGTGGGGACGACCACGTCTTTGGGGCTGGACAGGAAGCCAACGGCTTACTGCATATTACACACATTCCAGACTTCTGGTTTTGGAAAATATTCCTTGTGTACTTGATGTTTTTCTTCATCTTTTGAGCATCTTAGTCTCCTCTCCATTTTTGGTTAAAATAAGCAGAAGTGGGTAATGAAGGTTTTCTTCATATATATCCTGGTTTTCCTTTTTCAACTGAAAACAATAAAAAAAAAAAAAAAAAGGTAAGGAGACTCAGATTAGGAATTTTTACCAGTTGATTTAAATGTTGAGTACAATGAAGACTTCTTACCTAAATATACTGTCGGGGTGGGGGTGGGGGGGAGGGGGGTGTGAAGCAACTCAGTGGCATTGACATGTCAACACTACGCATCAAGATGGGTGTTTTTCATAAATAGTCACCCTGCATCTGTGACCCTCAGGAACTCTGAGGCACTGCAGTGAAGGCGGTAGACCTGGCCAGCCATTTGGTATAGAAGCTTCTGCTCTTGGCCCTCTCTGTCCCCAGCCAGAAACCAGGAATCCCAGTGGGCAGGCCTCTCAGATCCCTGTTTGGAAACTGTGGCAACACCTGGGCACCAGGGAAATGCTGATGGGGCCCAGGGCATTTCAAAGATCCTCCAGATCCTTCCTAAGGGCTTTAATATTAATGATAAGTAACTCAACAATTCTTTTCTCTGGCGGGAAAAACATATTCCAACAATCAGAGCCTCAAGCTTTGATTGCACTCAGTGGACTTCCGAGGTTTTCCCAGGGCAGATGTGCAAATCTCATTAACATTCTCCAATGCGAAGTACACTTTTCCTCATTGGCTAGAATAATTCTGGTAGTCATATTTATACTAAATATAGTGGTTAACAAGAAGTATTTTTTTCAACATATGTTGATAGAAATGCGATTTGATATGTATTTTATTTTGCTGTATTGACAACAAGCTTCAAAACTTCATATGTCCAATTTTCTGAAGGTGTTAACATCATAGATATTTTTATGTTTAAAAATGTTAAATTTTGTGCCTAAGAAAGAGCATTTGTGGGAAGTTTTAATTCATTACTTTATTTTGAAGAAAAAGTGCTGCTGAAAGTTATCATATACTTCAGGAAACTTATGGAAACTCAAGATACTTATGAATGCTGGTTTAAACACTTTGAAAGTGATGATTTTGATGTGAGAGACAAAGGACAACTGAAAAGTTTGAAGGCCAACAATTACAAGCATTATTGGATGAAGATGCGTGTCGAACTTAAAAACAACTTGCAGAAAGATTAAACATTGCTCAGCAAACAATTTCCGATTATTTACAAGCAATGGGAAAGGTTTTAAAGGGAGGAAAATGGGTGCACCATCAACTAAACGGAAGACAAATGGAAAAACGAGAAGCCATCAGTACAATGTTGTTTCAACGGCACGAAAGAAAGACTTTTTTGCATCAACTTGTGACTGGCGATGAAAAGTGGGTTTATTCTGAGAATCCCAAATGCATAGAATCATGGGTTGATCCAGGTCAACCATCAACATGGACTGCAAGGCCAAATCGCTTCAGAAAGAAGACAATGCTCTGCATTTGGTGGCATCAGGAAGGTGTGGTGTTTTATGAGCTTCTAAAACCAGGTGAAACCGTTAATACTGATTGCTACCAACAACAAATAATTAATTTGAACCACGTTTTGATCATAAAACCACCAAAATGTTCCAAAGACACAGCAAAAATAATATTGCTTCATGATGATGCACCATCACACACTTCAAAACCAGATAAAGACACATTAAAAGATCTTGCCTGGGAAGTATTAACCCACCCACCGTATTCACCAGAACTTGCTCCTTCAGATGACCATTCGTTCCGATCGATGGCACATGCACTTTCTGAGCAGCTCTTCAAAACGTATGAAGAAGTGGAAAATTGGGTCTTTGAATGGTTTGCCTCAAAACAAGGAAAGTTCTATTGGGACAGTATCCACAAATTAGCTGAAAGATGGGGGAAATGTGCAGCTAGCAATGGACATTGCTTTGAATAAAGCACTTTTGATGTTTCTCTTGAAATTATTGTGTTTTCTTTTATTACAAAATCTGCGTTATTAACTGGTACACCTAGTATGTTTTCTAGCAAATAATATAAAGCTATTTGTAAAGATAAAAAAATCAGTATTTTTGAGCCAAATTTTAATTCATTTTTTAATTTATAAGAATCAGAAATAAATACCTTTTTTTCACTATACATGGAACCAATTCCTTTATTATTTCAAATCAGACAAACCTCCCCCTCCTCCTTGAAGCTAAATGAATGCCTCCAACATGACACTTCCCTGGACTAGTAAATCTGGGGATAACTTGAATCTTTTCAAAGCGCATATTCCTTCTATATCCTATTCCCAAACTGTGGCACGCCCTCACTATTCAGAACAGGAGCAACCTGTTTTTACTTCTTTTTTTTTTTTTTTAATATTTTTTAAAATTGATTTTTCACAGAGAGGAAGAGAGAGGGATAGAGAGTTAGAAACATCGATGAGAGAGAATCATCGATCAGCTGCCTCTTGCACAACCCCCACTGGGGATGTGCCCGCAACCAAGGTACATGCCCTTGCCCGGAATCGAACCTGGGACCTTTCAGTCCGCAGGCCGACGCTCTATCCACTGAGCCAAATCGGTCCCGGCTGGTTTTTACTTCTTAATCCATTTCCCTAAGATCTGATGGTGGTGCAATCACTCACGTGACTTCATCTGTTTTCTTACACAGAGTTAGTTCTATTTACAGATGAGTTATCTATTTAGAAAGAGCCTCGTGGATTTCGGTTGCCACCGAAATAATGACAGTGTTCTTCTTAAACACACATCCCTCAATATCACTTTTTAATTAAAAATAACAACAACAACAACAAACACACAGGAAATGGCTTCCCAAACTTCCCAACCCACACCCATTAATAGGGACCTACCCACTGTAAATACCTTTGATGTCTGTTGCCTTGGTGATAGAAGGAACACGCTGAAATATTTCACAGGGAAGAGGGGGCCAAGCTAGCTAAATTCTTCCTCGGGGACTGGGGATAAGGCAAAGTTGATTACTCAGCGTGAGTCAGCTGACCTACTCACTCACAAAGTGCTAATATACAGACTCAGATGAGCTCTTTATAAAGTCCCTGAGGTAATGTGTGGCATAAATAAATCTTCTGTAAATATTGCTTAGAAATCACTTTCAGCTTGGATTCTACCCTGACCTCTGAAGGCCAAAGTCGAGGCTTCCCTGGGGGAGAGACCCAGGGCCCTGCCCTATCTTAAAGATGAGCCCTTCCTCAAGGTGGAGAAGAGCAGACAACCCTACACCCAACCCCAGATCATTTCTGAACCCGGTGAGGGCCCTTGAAAACACACAAAGCTGTTGGGCACTATTTGCTTCGATGGGGGAATATTACGTGGTTTAAGAATAATTCCATTTTCCTAGGCTATACTTCTTTGCCCGATGAATAATTATAATGTTAAGAAATACAAAAGCCCCTGGGGTGGGGGGTGGGGAGAAGAAATGAACAAAAGGGAAATAATGGATAAAACAATTTTTCAATTTCATAGGCTAAAACGGGGTCTTTGAAGACGGAAGCAAGTTATATAGCTGCTATTAGTCACATTATCCTTCGCTTCCTAATTGGATGCCACACGCTCAGCCTTGCCGTGGCGTGAACAGCAGCAGCGGGAGAGGGGTTCAGACTGTTTACCCTTCACAGTGTCCACAATTACCAACAGCCCACCACACCGATCATAAGCACCAGCCACTTGTGATACGGCATGCTGAATAGAAAAGCAGAAGTGCAATATGGCCGTGCTTTTCACACAATGTACTGACTTCACAGCCGAGCCGAGCCTGTTTTCGTGGCTGAGTACAGAAACACAGAAAATAAACACACGGATGGTTTTGTGAAAGTTGAGAGGGAACAACAACAACAAAAAAATACCTATGGCGTGTAAAATTATATTTCAAAGACTATTTGCATGAATGAGAGTAGTTTGATCAACTAATTTCAAGCCAGCCGCAATCTCAGAGCCAGGTCTTTCTACCTTGCTGAACAATTTGCTATCTTCACATCCTTAAACACTGGGCCATGCATTTCATTCCCAGCCTGGGAGAGACCCAGAGATTGGGGAGGGGAAGATGAGGTGTTTTATTTTTCTTTCCATTGCCTGGGCGAACAGAAAGGCAGTATTTTTTTTTTTTTTTAAACACACAACACAACACACCACACCTTTAGCTGCCTGGTCCCTGAGCATGCTGGCTGCATGGCGTGGGCACCATTTAAGCAAAAACACGGGCAGAAAAGTGCAGAATGGCACCGTTTTGATTACAGGCTTGCTTTTGAACGGAAATAAAATTTCACAGTTAACAATGAGAGGTGAAAAGTTTAAGAGGCAAAGCTGTTCCTCCTGATCACTGACTGGTAATCAGCTTCATGGGTGGTTGCCTAAATCTGTAGAATTTTTTTTTTTTTTTTTTGTACCTTGCACGACTGCCAAGATTGTAACTAATTTTTTTTTTTCCCTCTCCCCCTGTTGTAAGAGAGGAGGGCGTGAAAAACCTCGGCATAGAAAGCAGCTGTGTATGAGTGACGTGAGGCACTAATGCAGAGGGCAAAATTAAAATTCATGAATCTCTTCACAACCATTTGTGTAACAAGATTAAGACGGGACAGCGGAAAAGAGCGGCATTATCAGGCGTCTTACAGTCCTCCAGCTGGTTACGCTCTATTCCGGCACAGTAGGGCTAAGAGGATAACACGCGGCCCGCAGGAACACGCCGCTCCTCCATTTGGGAGCCGGCTCGGCCCCGGGGACCGTGGGGGTTTGGCCGGAGATGGGAAGGAAGAAAGCTGATTGCTGCTCAAGATGGAAAAGTTTTAAGCCCCGGCTGTCAGCACGCGGCAAACAAAAGCTGCGGCCGGGGCGGAGGTTCCCGGCGGCCGCCAGCCCCTGCGCGCCCCCCGAGCCCAGGGCAGGCGGGTGGGAGGCGGGCAGGGACCCCAGGGCACAGGGGTGCTGGCTTCGGAGCCGGCCCCTCGCCTGGGTGAAGGGCACCCGGGCTGGGCGAGGGGGCTGGGACGCTCCCCACTGCCCCCCTGCCTGGCCTCTGGGAGAGATCCGGTCCGGGCACCCTCCCCTTGCCAAGGAGACCTCCGCGTTGGAGCTGGGGTTGGGTCAGCACAGGGGACAACGCGGCTGGGGCGGGGAGCCCTGCATCCTAGCTCTGGTAACCGAGGGACGAGACATGCTCTTGATAGAAGCTCAACCACCAATCCAGCGGCAATTGAGCTCATTATCCAACATCCACACCATGGGCGTCCACGTCTGTAGCATTTACCTAGGACGCCCCAGCTCCTCAGAATATCCCCTTAGGCTGCTACTTCCTGAGAACAAAATGACACTTTCACCGCTCACCACACCAAAAGAGGGGAGGGGGACTCTTCTCAGCCCAGTGTCCTCACGTTGGGGAATGTAGCTTTCAAGCCATTACGAAGAGATAAAAATAAGGCCAACTACTTAACGAAATTTTACATTTGTGGGACCACTTGGCCCATGATTATTGATGGGGTACTAACTGTGGGTACAGACATAAACATTACCAATGTAAAGGTCAGAGGCATGCTTAGGGGTTTCGGGAACGGTGCTTTGCAGGACAGTGTTCATGGCTGGAAACAGAGGATGCTGCTGTCTGCTAGCTGCTGACAGTCTAACGTTCCAGACAAAGGAGAGGTGGCCAGCCACAGCTCAAACACCTCCCGTGTTCCAACACACTCCAGGGCTTGCAGGGAGGCGAAGAGGGTAGAGGAAAGGGAAGGTTATCAGGTCCAACGCTGACTTCTCTGCTGGTGGAGGAACCCCAGACTTTGCTCTCCTGAGCTGTGGCTGAGGATCTAAACGCATTTGTTTTTCCGGGGGGGGGGGGGAGTGAATGGCAATGACATGAAGGCAGCCATCATCCAATCCCTGTATCTCTAGCCTAAGCTGGATAGAAGGCAGAATGGATTGCTTTGGGTAGAGGAAGGCCCTTCTCCCGCCAGGTGAAGCCTCCAGGGCCACTGTCTTTGTTGTGGGGAGGGGTTGAAAGAGGGAAAGTTGTTCTGGAGGGGCAGGTGAGATTCGAGTACCATGCCATTCTGCTTTCATTTTCTGATTGTAAGCAAAGGGCCCAACTCCAACAGGGAGTCCTTAGAGACTCACAGAGGCGAACCCATTCCCGGGAAGGGGAGGATTTCCTTTCTTTTGCTGGGAAGATCAGGTCCACCTTGTACATAAATTTTTCAAAAGTCAGTAACTTCTGCATTAAACCATAGTCCTGGATAATGAAGAGTGCTATTGGTGTTTTTACAGGAGAACATTAAGGTCAGGCCTTTCTTTTTCTGCAGTCACGACTTACAAAATTAGAACAAGTCAAAGTCTCTTGCCAAGGTCAGACTAGTTTAGAGAAGGGAGATTTCAGTAAGGCACAAAATTACATAAGTAATACATGTTATGCTAGTGACAGTGACATGTATTAGCAAACGTGAGAGACCTAAAGTTTTCAGAACACTTGCCTCTCGGTGTCCTATATTGCTGTATACCCATAAATAATAAAAAGGCTGATAACATTGCTTTATGTAAGGAAGCTTAGAAATCACTCTCAGATAAGTGCTTTTGACCTAAATCTTGTAGCGCCTCGCTCTGACATCTAACCCCACAACTGTGAAATTCTGTAGGAGATTTAACAGTCTCAAACTACCAACTGACCCAGCCATAAAGCAAGCAGAGATAAAGATTTACAGACCAACATGATACAATTAAACAGTCACCTTCTATTTATTTCAGTACAGCTGAGCATTTAACCTACTTAAAAGCCAAAGCTTTTTCATTAAAATATAAATGCTTGTTTATCATTCCTTCATATGCCACCTCCAGGCATCCTATAAATTAGCCTATTATAAATGAAAAGATAACTTTGTTTTAGAGAAAGGCGTAAACAAGAATGGTTTCTGTAAAAATCCTTCTAGACATGCAAAGATAAAAGATGGCTTTACCACACAAAATAATCAGATACACAGAGCCGTTCAGAGCTAGCACACCTAAGAAGTGCTTTAATCAAATATTTAGGTTACCTGCCAAAAAGACCATGATCTCTTCAAAATGCAATGCGGATTAAAGTGTTATCTAGCACAAGCAGAAAACTAACCTTGGAGTGGAAGTTTGAAATGTGTTCATCGTAATTTTCATGTCTCTGGATAGAGAAGCCAGCTTTTTCAGCTAGATTGCAAAACTGGTTTAAAGTAGTCCCTCGGCGTGGGGCAAATACCATTGCTTTCCCCTAGAATGTTAAAAAGAAAGAAAGAAAGAAATGTACACATTTTAAAACTGGCAGGCAACCAAACATCGCAGACACTGGTCAAAGCGTTTAACATACTGATCTCAGGTGGAAAACTCAATTGTTCTGGAGACGGCCACACCAGTCCACAGACAGATACGCATCAAATAAGAAAACAACATGTATCCTAGTCAGATGGCCAGTGGCTTTTCAAATAGCACATGTCATAAACAGAACGTGACTCCGCGTTGGTATTCTGTACAACATGCACCTCTTCGGGGTTTAGCGGTTTGCACAAAAGCACTAGATTCTCAAGGAACTGGTCCAGGGCAATGCCACCCACCTTGCGACTCGCTGGCAGCTGCCAACACACCCACAACACAGTTCCGGGGCATGTGGCCACAGACGCCTGTAAATGTGAGTTTATTGTGCCCTGAAATCTCAGTACCAAGAAATCCTCCACAGAGACAAGGAACCACAATCCCCAGTGGAGAGTTTTCATGTTTCAGTCCTGCCTTTTCTGGGACCACGCTGTCAGCTACAAGGATCTTGGTTTCCAACTTCACTGAATCCTTCACAATGGCCTTCATTACAGCAAAGCAGCTCCTCGCTGTACTCAAATGATTGCTTTTCAAAGAAAGTGGTATAAAGAGGACAAACAGGCTTTTCTAAATAAAATGCACAACCTTATGAGACTGTTGCAGTGGGGAGCCCGGGAGGACCCGTATACAACCTACGAGGGATTTCAGAAATCCACCGGACATGCAACTCCATGCTGGTCGTATGTCCGCCCCTGGGTGCCTGTGGATGTTCCCTCCCCCTCTCAGGTGTGCACAGAATGGCCATGCTTCAGGATCTTCTTTTCTTTTGATTGGGTTACAAGATGGCTGTACGCTTCTGTTAACTTCAAGGTTACACTTCTCTTCAATGAATGCTGATTCAGGTTTTGAGGGAATCATAAATATATCCTACTTTCTTATGAAAGGTTTATCATTCCCACCTGCCAACTATTTCCTGAGCATGCAGCACATGTCAGACACCGGGAGAGGGGTTCTCTAGTCATTGTCTCTCTTAAACCTTCAGACCACCAAAACGTAAGGATTATCAGCTCCATTTTACAGGAGGCTCAGAAAGGTTGACTAATTGGCCAGGATGACACAACTGGTAAGTGGATGGAAACCTATCTGACTCCAATGCCACGTCTCTCTCCTGGTCACTGCATCGCCGCCTCATCAGTACTAGTGATGGCAATAATAAAAATAGCAACCACTGTGCTAAGTGCTTCAACCTCCCCCTTATTCCCCTCAACAACACTGTATGGGAAGACATTGCGTTTCACAAATGATTAAACATGCAATGAAGGGGTTGAAGAATACAAGGAAGAACTGTGTGGCAGAAAGGGTTTTTAAAAATATATATTTTATTGATTTTTTTACAGAGAGGAAGAGAGAGGGATAGAGAGTTAGAAACATCGATGAGAGAGAATCATCGATCAGCTGCCTCTTGCATACCCCCCACTGGGGATGTGCCCGCAACCAAGGTACATGCCCTTGGCTGGAATCGAACAAGGGACCTTTCAGTCTGCAGGCCAACGCTCTATCCACTGAGCCAAACCGGTTTCAGCAGAAAGGGTTTTTGGATGTAAAGGGGGTCTCCACCATTAAAGAGCTGAGTCACTGTAGGAAAATGAGAAAACTAATCTCAGAGCTGTTGAGCCTGAGGACCTTGGAGATGTTAGGCTAATTTCATTTGGCAGGTGAGAAACTCAAGTGATCCTAGTTGACTCCCTGAGTTTTCTCATCCAGCAAGTGGGAACAGCAAAGCCTGCCCCCACCCCCAGCAAGTTGTGAGAATCAGATGAGGTGATGAATATGGAAACAGTTTGGAAAATAAGGTTAAACAGATGTAAGACTAGAAACATCTAGAGCACCGAATAGTGCTATAAAAATTCCATCAATTCTCTCTCCTTGACATTCTCTTTCCCTCATTTACCTGCTAGAAATATCCCAATACACTGTCCCGGACAGCAAGTATGTTTTCATACTGTGTTTACATAGACATGTACACACTCAGGCACATAATTATAGCAGCACCAATCATGCCAATACACTTAAGGTTCTGTCAGCTTTTCTCATATTAATTGCTATTTTCAGGTGGTTTTCAGACTTAGCAGTAGAAATGCATTTGAATGTGGAAGTAGATATAATAATGGTCTCAGCAGGAGAGCAAACGTCTCTATTTTCTAAAAAAGTAAATACTAGTAGGTCATTTTAGTCATTTCTAAGAGCTGGTTGCCATTCTGGATTTTTTAATAATGTAAGTTTTTATTTTTATTTTAAATTCACTTGTAAAAATTGTCTTACAATTACAATGGAAGAGTTGATTTTTAACAGCTATTACCTAAGCCAGCAATTTTCGATCTTTTTCATCTCCTGGCACACAAAAACTAATTACTAAAATTCTGTGGCACACCAAAAAATAGATTTAATGTTTGCCGATCTTACAAAAAAAAAAAAAAAAAAAGGTCTGATTTTGATTGATTTACAAAAAAATAATAATAATAGTATTTATCTACCCTTTTTGCTCAATGTTTTTTTCAAATCAGGTATTAGTATTTGTATAAAGAATTTCTGACACTAAGAATTAACCAATCAGATACAACTTTATTATGTGTTGTGACTAATAAGATACAACTCTATTATATGACCTATAGATTTATGGTTCAAAAGAGGGCATTCACACCAGAAGGCTTTTGTTTTGTTGGCTGTTATAATTTTTAATATTTGACAATCTAAGGGAAAAAGAGGCCAATGCCACTGATAGATAGAATCATTGATTTGTTGCCTCCTGCACGCCTCACACCTGGGATTGATCCCACAACCTGGGCATATGCCCCTGACCAGAATCAAACCTGGGACCCTTCAGTCTGCAGGCTGATACTCTATCCAAACCAGCCAGGGCAGTACTGCATATTTTAAAAATTCTGTGGCACATGGGTTAAAAAATCACTGATCTAAGCTATCCTAGCTAATAAAAGAGTAATATACAAATTGACCATCACTCCAAGATACAAGACGGCTGCCCCCATGTGACCAAAGATGGCTGCCCCCATGTGGACACAAGATGGCCACCACAAGATGGCCTGCAGGGGAGGGCAGTTGTGGGCAGTTAGGGATAACCAGGCCAGCAGAGGAGGACAGTTAGGTGGCGACCAGGCCTGTAGGGGAGGACACTTAGGGGCAACCAGGCCAGCAGGGGAGGGCAGTTAGGGGCAATCAGGCCAGCCAGGGAGCAGTTAGGCATCAATCAAGCTGTCAGGGGAGTGGTTAGGGGGTGATCAGGCTGGCAGGCAGAAGCAATTAAGGGCAATCAGGCAGGCAGGCAGGCAGGTGAGCAGTTTGGAGCTAGCAGTCCTGGATTGTGAGAGGGATGTCCAACTGCCCATTTACCAACTGCTCATTTAAATGGGCAGTTGGATATCCCTCAAGGATCCCAGATTGGAGAAGATGCAGGTTGGGCTGAGGAACAACCTCTCTTACCACCCCCCCCCCCCCCGCATGAGTTTTGTGCACCGGGCCTCTAGTTTATCATAATGTTTACAGGGCTCTGGGGTTCTTGGTTGGGCTGATGCTTGTATTTACAAAGCACATGCTCTCTACAGTGCACCTCCTTGTTGGTTGGGGTAAGCTGTTAGGGGGGCTGCAGTGAAGCCTATGGCTGCACTCTCTGCCTAGACATCTCTTTCCTCCTTTAGGCCTCAGTTTACCTGTCCTTCTCTAACCACCCAATCTAGAACAGCAGCCCCCTCCCTCCATCATTATTGACCCTCTCTCCTTGCTCTACCTTTGTTCTTGGCACTCATCACCTCTGACACACATTATATCCTTGTTTGTTATGCCTGCCTCCTCTGGCTGGAATGCACACTTATGCCAACAGAATCTTCTAATGTTTATTCACCACATTTTCGCAGGACCTAGCAGATAGTAGATACTTAACCAATATTTGTTGAGAGAATAAACCAAATGCCAATGTTGAATCATCTGAGAAATTCGAGTCTTTGGGAATTTGAAGGCCATGTTCTATTGCTTATTCTTTAGAAAAGATTTCCTCCAAGAAGCATTTGTAGAGTCAGCAACTACGGTGGGATATGAGAGGGCACAATACTGAACCTTCGAGAAAGAGAAAGAGCAAGCAGGACTTTTACTCAGTTATGAGTTTTAAAATACTTCCTTTTCATCTAATTAAATACAGACATTTTTTGAGATGTAGATTCGTACTTAGTAGGGACAACAGTACACCATCCATTCAGAATGCTTCAGTAAGCATCCATGGAGCCCTACTGAGTGTCTGCATCCATCCCACAGAGATTGGTTTTAGGACACACACACCCATCTCAGTAGAGCTGAACCCTTTGTTGGGTCCAATCAGAGAAATATGCCTTATAATTTAGGCTGCAAAAATCAAAACAAGAAAGAAAAAAAATAGATTTCAAATGAGTCCATCTCTTTAGAAAAATTATTTTCAATTTACTAAAGCAGACGTTTCTAAGCATTCACAGTCACGGAATCATTTTAAACTAAGAATGAACACTCAATTGAATGTAAAATTTTGACTGATGAGCAGAAATTTGAGGGATTCATTTATCCCTTGAGAGGAGAGAGGAGCAGTCCCACTAAACAAGGCAATCCTGTTTGCATTGGGAGTGCAGTTGTTGCTGTTTCGCTAGACTAATCTATACTCACATACTAAAGGGAGGGTACTTCTGGGAAAATAAGTGTGCTTAGGATTTATTTTAAAAGGAATATGCTATGCCAACGAAAGGCTTTTATTCCTTTCATTCCCAGGCAGCTAACTATTAAATACCGATTACATGTCTAAGCTTATGTTTATTTTCTAGCCTTTTCTTTACCAGGTTTCTGAGATGCTGCCTTTCCCTGCTTCCACCTGCTTCTTCCCCTGTATCTCTCTCAGTTCCCTTCCCAAACTTCTCTTCGTCCACTTGCTCCTTAATTGTTAGTGGTCCCCAAAGCTCTGCCTACTTTTTATTCCTATTCCTAGGCCATTGAACTGAAGTCCAGGCATCAACTATCACTTATACTTCCAAACTCACAAGTATATTACTGCAGCATTCACCCATATTTTCAAATCTCTACAAGATCTCTCCACAGATGAGTTCTGAAAGTACCTTTAACCCATTCTATCTAAAATGGAATTCAATATTCTTGGCTCTAAGCCCCTACTGTTTGGAGCCAGGTCTCTCTCTCTCTCTCTCTCTCTCTCTCTCTCTCTCTCTCTCTCTCTCCCTTTCACACACACACACAAACACACACTCAGACACACCTACTGGAAACCAAGTACTTCCATACTCTTCCACCCCTGAAACGAAGCTAGACACCTGGAAATCATGGCATTGCCCTTTAAAACCCTTTAGTGCCACGTCTCCCTGCCCACACCACTGTCATCTGCTGCATTGGGCTCCAGCGCAGTTTTTGCTGGGCACCCTGAGAACTTCCGGTATCTCCCGTTGCATGTGAATTATGAAGAACTCAGGATCCACCAGCGTAGCCCCCAAGGTGTTTCTCTGTGGACCTCTTGTGACGTCTTCAGATCTCTGGGCCACAACCCCACAGAGGAGTTGTCTTGGCTCAAGAAAATATTGAAAGCAGCTCTAAGTGGAAATAAAACCTTTGCTCTTATCTCAGTCTTGGACTGTGACTTCACACATTCAGCAGGGGGTGGTCCTCTGGAAGCAGGACTGCCAGCGCCGAGAGCTAAGAGGAACAGTTCAGCTTTTCCTCTGGTTACCCCCAAGCTCTGGGGACCTTCTAGCCCAATGGAGCTGCAGGTCACTGCCAAGTCCGTGTGACCCTTCCAGGTGCACCTGGGTGGAGGCCTAGGGAATGCAAGTGTTGTGCCTCCCCAGCCCCCACAATAGGGATGAGTTTCCTGGGGGGCAATTTTGGAATGCCCATGTGCCATCCGCGACTCGGACTCCCGCCTTACAGTGGGCCTCTTACCCCTTAACCTAGAGCCCTGGCCGTTTGTGAACGAGGAGCCTAAGCCAGGCCCTCCTCCCGTCTCTAATGCTGCTGTTCGGTGCAGGCTCCTCTGGCCCAGGGTCCCTGCTCCTCACGCAGTAAGGAGGACGTCTACTCTAGGGCCCTGCCTCCTCGTTCTAGGAGCTGAGGATGAGTACCAGCGTCAGTAGAGGGCTGCTGTCTTCGCTCTAAGCCCCAGGGGGGCTGCTGTGTGGAGCCATACTTCAGGCCAGGGGGAGTGTGGTTCAAGGTTTAGTAGAGGGAACAGGGGGGCTGCTAGGATGCCAGTCCAATCTTCACTTAGCTCTATTCATAGGTTGGGCAGTTTCTATTGTGAACCATGAGGAGGATTTACAAAAGATCTGGGAAAAGCACTCAGATCTCCTACAAAATGGAATATTTGCCACCAACAGGCCTGAAGGGGGCTGGTGAGGAGTGGGGTCCTATTTGTGTAGGGTCAGATCCAGGAGTCCTTGTAAGTATCGCATTTATATATGTGGCCTACGATTAAGGTGACCAGACGTCCCGCTTTTGGCAGGGCAATCCCAATTTTTAACAATCTGTCCCATATCCCGCAGCGTTTTTAAAAAGTCCCGATTTTTTGAAAGATTATCGGGACTTTTTTAAAACGACGCGGGACAGATTGTTACAAATCGGGACTGTCCCACCAAAAGCGGGATAGCTGGTCATCTTACCTAGGATACATTTCCATGGAGGCCTTTACATCCAAGAGACTCAGTGCTTCTGAAAATTCTGATCTTGCAAGTGCTCACAAGGCTCATCTAAGGCTCAGAGGGGGGATGGAGAGGCCCCAAATTCCCTTTTCTACCCTCAACTCAGGCTGTTCACCCAACTAGGGCAGCCGCCATCACCAGTGTGGGCGCGCCCCTTCCTCGCCTCAAGACTTACTACCCACAACCTCACAGAGGGAACTGAGAAGCCAATTTCCTTTAATTGATTACCACTTACCAAGCTGTGGCTACTCCTCTGAGAGGTCTATTTAAAGTTTCTGAGCTGTACAGAGATAACAGAATAAAAAGCAACAGTGTGAGGCAAAGGATGATTATCAAATTGCTCTGGGAACCTTCCATGTGAAAACAGATATAAAAGGAATATTGAAAGGTATTCATCTGTAAGCCTCACTGAGGTCAGAAGACTGGCGCAAACCCTCTTTTAAAAAGACTTTAGAAACAAAACTAGAAAATACTTCACACACACACACACACACACACACGCGCGCACACACACGCACACACGCACACACACACACGCACACGCGCACACACATGCACACGCGCACACACATGCACACACGCACACACACGCACACACGCGCACGCACTGCAGTCTTTTCTCAAATAAATTGGAGTTCCTGCCTTAGACTGACTGCATTAACATTGTTATGATATTTTAAACTCGATGGTACAGTGAGAGCCTCACATACTTAAATATTTTTTTTAATGCATGAGCTTTAAACTCGTTTTCTTACTTTAAATAGACGTATATTAACTCTCTGTTTAGGCTGCGAGACCTCCTAGCTTAGTATATAACAGCCCAACAAAATAAGAGTGGATACAAACTCTGTAATTTACTCACAGGCATAAATGGATATATAAATGTAAAAATGTGCACAATTTGTATGCCACGCGTGGCTTCATTGTGACCTAATGTTTATAATATGTAAATAATGGCTTCCTTTTAAAGCAAAGAACTTTTAATATACAGATTCATCTGAAGTCCTTTTTCTTTAATATAAACAGAAATAGAAAAAAAGAATGCCTTTGCAATAAAGAAATACCCAACGGCAAAGGTTACCATTGACGGGATTTAAAATGACAAACATCAACAGAAAACTTTCAATATCATACTTCCACTTTCATAGGAAGATATTGCTATCAAAGGAAAAGACTCAAGAAATTCTTTGATAAAAATAATCTCACGCTATCTTTGAAGCAGTTTCATTTATTTTACTACCCACTGTGTTTCTTATCTGAAGGCCAAGGGTAAGAAGTTTTCCTGGTTATGATTAGGAAAGAATCTGATAGATCAGAAGACCCAATTGAAGTTGGACATAATAAGTATTAAAGTATCACATGACATTAATCCTGCCATTCCATTACTCTCTCCATCTTTGAGCGCAGACTAATTATTCTGAACCAGTGTTCGGGAGAAAACAGAAACTACTTACCCTGGGCTGGAGCAATCTCTTTATCGCATCGACGAGGCTGGCTCTGTACTGGTCCAGAAACAGGCTGCCATGGAGAAGAGAGCAGAATCCAGATGAAACTGGATTTCCAAGTCTAATGATACTAATGGAGATAAGTACAGGGCTAATTACACGTGTTAACTCAACGCTAAGAAAAGAGAAGTTGCATTTTTCTATTCAGATGTCTTGCTGGGGGAGAAGAAAAGGTACCGTGGTCAGTGGTATTGCAATCGAAGCGAAGCCAAATCATCAACATGCAATGGGTCCGGATTCACACACTCCGGGCCACAGGTTATTGTTAACGGGACGATCTCTAAGCTTCTGTTTGGAGGAATCATCTGGCCGAGATGAAGCTCTCCCTGCCATCGGAGCTTTGTCTCTGTAGACCCGGGCCCTCAGTACACCGAGGGTGCTATGGACCAGCCTCCAAAAATACACCGCCAGAGCATCTCAGGTGCTGATGGCTTTTAGTGACTAGGAACAGCGCTAAGGTTAGATTCAACCAGGGACCCAGGACTAAATGGTTCCGGATACAAAGATAAGGTTTAGGGAACATGTCACAGAGACCATAGCAACTTAGGATTCCTCCCCTTTGATCTCCAGGTTGATTTTTTTTTTTTCCAGTTCACTGTCATCTTCCTTTTTTTATCCTCTGGTCTTTGGGGGATTTGTTGTAGCTCTGTCATTCCTTTGGTTGGGTCAGTCTGACCCTGTCTTCACCAGGCCTCATCTTGGAAGCTCGGGACAGAGTTTGCTTATCTGGGACTTGCAGGCTAGGACACTGGGCAGCTGTGCATCAGCCACCCCAGGAGGAGCCTAAACCCACTCTCTCCCATCCCTGATGCTATCGTTCGGAGTAGGCCCCTCCTATTTCACCTCCCTGCTCCTCACAAAGCATGTGTAAGTACTGCCCACTCCAGGGCCCTGCCTCATCCTTCTTGGAGCGGAGGGTATTGGCCGTCAGGAGGAGCCACGCTACAGGCAAGGGTGGAGGGCAGTTCACTGTTTAATAGAGCTATGGCTCTGACCTCTCTGCTATGTCACCTTAACAAGTCACTTCCCATGAGGCCTCTGTGTCTTTACCCATAAAGGCCCACCTATGTGGCTGTGGTGGAACCAAATTAAGAATACGTATTAGTTGGCAAATATTTCTTCTTATAAAATCTGCCTTTAAGCATTGTTCATCAGTGACTAATAACTATTAAGGACTGATAAGGAAGAAATCAAAGTTATATCTAAGTGTCTTAAGAACTCTTCCTCGTTAGGACTATATTCTTTAGTGAGGTACTGAGACCTTAGGTTTTAATAACTAAGCATTCTGGTTTTGTTTTTTAAGGAGACTATCACTGTGGGAAGATATCTCTGTCAGGTACTCAGGTCCATAGAAAACCTGGCTGGTTGGGGTACACAGCACTAAGCAAAAGACCATGCTCAGTGTACACCAGTGCATCCTAAGAGCTGGTAAGATCGTTGGAATAAAAAACAGCATCTTAAAAGCTGAGTTTAAAACATAACCTTATAAAGTACTATGTCTACTTAACATTGGTAATGGTGACAGATATTAATTAGCATCCCCACTTGCTGAAAAATGCAGCTTAACACATAGGACACATTCCAAGTACACTTATCTGAAAGGTAATGTCGCCTACTCCATCCAAATCAAATCCCCCAAAAGTAATTCCTGTAGTTTTCTAAGTGGTCTTTATTCCAAGCAAGCTCACCTGCCTCCTTAGCCCTGCTGCAGAATTTATAACCCTTTGCAGGATAGTCCTATGAGCAATTTCAATGTGCTTTAGTAGGAGTGATATATAATCTCTGGAAAATTCGCCCCTTAAATGGTCCTAATGGGCTCAGAGAACAGCAGTAGCTTAAGTGGATCTATTTAAAAAGGCTGAGCAGGTCAGTGATGGGGATGGAGATACCGTTTCAACTCTCCCCTTCGGTTACTGATCAAAGGGCATCGACAGCCAGCCTCGGTTGGCCATTAAAACACACACAGATGTGCGTGCGTGCGCGCGCGCACGTGTGCACACACACACACACACACACACACACACACACACCCCTCTACAGAAGTCACTCGTGGAATCAAACTTGCTTTGTTCCATTGACCTGAACCACATATTTTTTGAGAAAGGAAAGGTGCCGGGCCATTTTCATCCCCTCCCCCAGAATCAGCCTGTTTTGAGCAATGCACAGAGCATGTACATCTCCTCTCACAGGGAAATTAATTAGTGCAGAGGAAAGGAGGCATTTCCCTGTCACTGTTCACAAAAGGAAGCCCTCTGGTAATTTTCAAGGTGAAATGTGCTGTTACATTCACTGTCTCGGGTGAACTTTCAGCGGTGAATGGCCTCTGCCAGTGGTTATCAACGGACTGTGGTGGAAGCTGGCACGCGTGCCCTATGCTGATCCCACCTGCTCTGCCCCTTGGGTGTAAGATCGTTGGCACTTTATGTATCTGCTGGGGACTGTGTCCTTCGGTGTGAGGGGAAAGGGCTCACTATGTTTGGGTTAAAGATCTTTTCAGGAGTAAAAATCTTTAAGGTGTGAGTTAGAAATATCCATGATCACAGCATCTGAAAGAAAACAAAGAAATCCTAGTGCCTATTTTGAAAAAAAAAAAAAATGTTTTCACAAAAACCAAACTTAAAAAAAAAATCATTAAAAGTAAAAAGGAAGAGCTAAACCGGTTTGGCTCAGTGGATAGAGCATCAGCCTGCGGACTGAAAGGTCCCAGGTTCTATTCCGGTCAAGAGCATGTACCTTGGTTGTGGGCATGTCCCCAGTAGGGGGTGTGCAAGAAGCAGTTGATCGATGATTCTCTCTCATCAATGTTTCTAACTCTCTTCCTCTCTGAAAAAAATCAATAAAACATATATTTAAAAAAAAACAAGTAAAAAGGAAGAGAAAATAGAAACAATCCAGTGTCCACAGTGAAAATGCTGAGAGCAAAGGAGGTGATGTGCCTTCCCCGTTTCTTTCCCATGTCTGGCTGCAGGCGTGCACAGGTGGAGCTGACTCCCACACACCTCGCTCCACACGGCTGGCTCCGGTTGGCATGTCAGACTCTCTCCGAGCCCTTAGAGAGTCCAGGGGTGCAGAATCATTTTTCTTTCAGCTACAATAAACTGGAAAGCCATCAAACGCTGAATGAGAGCGTTCATTGGATTAAAAGAAAAAATATGACTTCCAGGCTCTTAGATTATTGGGGTTGAACAGGAGTCTGGAAAGGCAGACTTTAATAGTAACAATCACTCGCTTTTCTAAACTCAGCAAGGACTGGGCTGGACTGCATTCCAATGCAAAGGAACTCATATTAAATTCAACATTAAACAAGTCAACCAAGGAACGTAATAGGCAGGGTGTTTTTTTGTTTTGTTTTGTTTTGTTTTGTTTTGTTTTGTTTTTTAAACCTGTGGTTAAATATTCTAACATTTGGATGTTTTTGTCCAGAGCTTCCCTTTTGCAGGCGTGGCTGTACCTCGATCTTTCCTTTCTGTTTATTTCAAAGTTGACATTTTATAAGTTATTTAGGAACTGTTGAACCATGAAACTATATTTCATTGTCAAAAATGCTGAACGGTAAAATAATGACTAGCTTTCACAGCTTTCCTTTTTATTTTATAATCTAGGTGAGCTAATAATTTAGATGTGAGCCAAGAGACTGTGTCTCCCGGGAAAGAAGTTATTTCCCCCGGTACCTACAGGTCTGTGAATGTTTGAATGTAAATATATGAATATATGAATGATTCGGGAACATAAACATATCACCGCCTGTTGTAATCATGTGCATTTTTACTTGAGCCACAATGTGGGTTGGGAATAGGTCTGTGAATAGAGCTTGTTTTCATGTAAATGGGATCAAGCAGTACCACTGGTTAGCTATTCAGGGAATCAGACAATGCCATCCTTGCTGGAAACGCTTCACTAAGAATTTAATCCATGTACCTAATATTCGAACTCTGACTCTTGCTTCATATTCCTGGGGCCTAATCCAGATCTCGTTGGCTGACAATGACTAAAGGATGGGGTGAGACTTAAGTGATCTATTTATGTGTGGTATCTATTTTTGGCAGTAGGCATTTCAGGTTTCATCTTGGTGGTGGTGGTGTCTAAAGGGAGCTTTCTTTTCGTCCTCTGTCACATTCTTTAAAAAAAGCTGCATGGTCTGCCTGCCTGCCCCTAGAAGCAGCATCCAGGCAGAAACGCTGATAGGGAAATGCCAAGCCTACAGGATGTAAAGAGCTCACGGAGCCCCGGGCCTCACTGCTCTAGGCACAACATGCATATTACAAAGACCACTCTGTACTCTCTAAGTTTCTAAGCCGTTTACCTAGCCCTGTGACTATCTATGAAGAGAGACCATTACCAAAGCATTTCTTTTGGAAATAATATCAGCATCGCAGTGAGAATAACTTAATGTTTCACATTTCCTAATGGGAAATTATAAACAGGCTGACATTCTGGCACTTAGAACACCAGAAAGAAAAACAAACAAACAAACAAACCTGAATTCATGCATAGAAAAGCCATTTATAAACTGAAAATGGGGTCTATTTAGTTCATTTGAATTCCTAATTTCTCATAGAGCCACTAGATATGTATGTGCTGTGTGTCTACTGTGTTATGTTATATATTTGCAATGAAAGCGTTAAGTGAATATGCATTATGGGTACCAGTTGTATGTGACCCTGTGGGCTAGGGAAAAAAGACTATTTTTCAAATATGCTGTGTGGCTATTTTTAACCTGAAAACATAAATCATAAAAGAGCTTATACTTCCTCTGCTTGTCTCTCTGGTACAAATAGGATGACATGGTGTGAGTGTCCACAACACAAGGTCTGACAAGAACGGGCTGTTTTGATATTTGTGCAAAGGACAGGCGTAACCTAAATCTCTTGGCCAGACCTGACTTTCCTCACATAATCAGAGCCCATCCATGTGCGACCCCGTCTAAGCCTCCCAGAAGATGCTGCCCTCCGTCCCTCTTGCCGCTGCTCTCTGATCTGACTTTCCTGCTTAATCTGATCTAATCCTGCCAGCATTATCTTCATCTGTGCAATGAAACCTGGAGGATCTTTCTCGTATTTGGTGAGGAAAGGCATTTACTAAATTACATGCTCACATCACATGGTGAGATTTTATTTCCTTATTTTTGATTAGATGAGGGATGTAATATTGAGACACACTATCAGTGATGAACCAGAAATCTGTTTCTTCCTTCTTTGGAACAGGTTTTCTGAAATTGGGTTCAAAGGGACTAAAAGGGCACGGAAAGCTAGAAAATTCCAAACTAAAAATATAACAAAATATTAATTTTTTATTGAGAAGTACTTACCAAAAGAAAAAAGAAAGAAAATCTAATTTCATTAATCTGGGTAAAAAAGTTACCCATTAAAAATTGTATTAAATAATACTAATACTAATACTAATACTAATACTAATAATGAAAACTTCCTGAAAATGTCATCCTATTCATCCAACTCTCTGAGAGGGAGTCTTCTTTGGGCTCTGGGTCTTATGATTGAGTTTATCAATATAATAGATCTTTAGAATCTGAACTTAATTGTCATAAAAACATCAAGATAAACACACAAATAAGATCTTATTCTTAACAGGGAAAGTGATTGTGAATTGTTAACATTCCCCATATGCTGAAACAATTATTATTCAACACGCATGAAGAAAATGCATAAGATTAGTTGAAATCATTATTAAGGTTTAATACATATTTATCCTGTAACTTGGGATCAGACTGTCATTAACAATAAGTAGACTGGGCTAAAAGTGAAGAGAAAATATGTAAATTATTTTCAAAAAGCAGGCACCTGACAGAGACTTTAATATTATTATTTGCATAACAAATTAAATTGTAATTTTATAATTCTTATTTTCTGTATAACTAAATATCATAATTGAATACATTGAAAAATATTAGATAGCAAACATATATTTGAAGAAAAGCTATTTCCCCTAAAGATATTCCATAGATATGTTTATTTGCTGGAGCATATATATGTGTGCACACATACATATATTCCCTTATATCAATAGTCAGATCTCTCCTAAGAAGTAAGCTAATTGAGCTGCTTGTGTTGATAAACTCCTTTTTCTCCAGACTATTCCTCTCCGAGCCATAATTATTTGCAATTTGCCTAAGTCGTCCATTTACTGATACGTCAAGCATGAAACAGAGGCAATTCCAGAAAATGGAAATGCTTCTCAAAATCAATCTTTGGGAAATAATGTGGTAGAAGTTACTGTGTGATAGGAGACTACCTTATAACTGTCACATGGAGATGAATATTAATTTGTTGAGGTTAAGGTGGCTTTGTGCTTCATTTGTTGACTTTGCTTAGCTGACAGCAAAGCAGCACAGCCCAATTACTCCAGCAAAGCTATTTTTTTCCTAACAGGAGTTTTATGATTTTTATGTACTTACCAGTCAGCACACATAACCATGTCAAAATGTCCTTCCAGTTGAGAGACATCTGTCTCATTATCCCATCGTAAAACGCTTGAGGAGAAAAAGATTTTTAAAAAATTATACTTAGGGTTGTTTTTTTTTTTTTTTACTTTTGATTTTGAGCTATTAACATTATTTTTTTGTGGCACTTGAAATTATTTAAAAGGCAAAACTATTTCAAAAAGTATTATAAAAAAAAAAACTAGAACCTAACGGTTTGTTCTGTATTTTATTTAGTCATCAATTCTAGAAGAGGCAGAATTCTCTATTTAAATACAATAGTTAAGCTTTTGCAAGGTTTTATATGTTTTGGAGACAAATTAGGGAAAAGTATCTTATCTTTACCATAGTCATTAAAATGAGTCTAGATTCACCATCAGTTACGGTACATATTAAAATCAAAGTATTCCCCATCTGACCGAAATACAAACTTGTAAAAATAAAGGATGTGAAATAGCATATATTGTGCTTGGCATGTCAGCGGCATTTCTTACTAATGAAATGAGCAATCGGGCAAGATGGAGGAAAAGACTTTCACTCAATAGTTCTCAGTTCTCAGGTGCAGTTAAAAAATCACCCATCCTAACAGCTTCCCCAACACCCTCAACATGGCTAAATTTGGGTCAGTTATCAGTCTTCATTTTACTGGCCCTATCAGCATGGGACTGTCCCTGATCTGCAAGTTCATATATCCAACTTCCTATTTTAATAATTTCACTTGGAAAACTAGCAGATATCTCAAACTTCATATGCTCAATATTAAATTCCTCCTCATCTCTCCCTGTCCTCCCTCCAAATTCATTTCATGCACAGTCTTTCTCATCTGTTAATCCCATCTTTCCAGCTGCTTAGGCCAAAAACCTTGACTATGACTATATCCCCAACTCCTTTTTTTCTGTTGTATCCATGTTGGATGTGCCTGGAAATGTTGTTCATTCTACCCTTGAAATATGTCAAAATCCACCTTCTCTCCTTCTACTGCTTCACCCTAGAAAGAATTATTATCATCTCTCATCTGATTTAATTCAGTCTCTTAATAGATTTCCCTGCTTCCACCTATCACCCCACAATTTCTGCTCAAGACAGCAGCCAGAATTACCCTTGCAAATCATATTTCAAATCACAAACCTTGTCTTCTTACTATCTTCTGATGGCTCCTCTCCACTCATAGTAAAAGCCAGTCCTGACAATGACCCATAAGACCCTATTCAATCCAGTTCCCATGCTGACCTCATTTCCTATGACTCTTCCCTTGGTCTTTGCTCTAGCAACAGAGGTCTCTCTATGATCATTTGAATATACCAGGCATGCTTCTGCCTTAGGGTCTTTAAATAAGCCGTTCCCTTGTGTAAATGCTCTTCTTCCATGCAACCCATGGCTCGTTCCCTCACTTCCTTCAAGTCTTGGCTCAAATGTGTTACCTTCTCAAGTAAGACTTCCATTCTGCTTAAAAACTGCAATCATTAATTTCTACTTCGTACTCCTGAAACCCTTAACCCACTCTGTATTTTTCTATAGTGGTTTTTACCCTTTAATGGGCTATATACCTGAATTATTAATTTTGTTTTTTCTCTCTTTCTCAGGTAGAACATAAGCACCATAGGGGCAAATTTTTTTTTTTTTTTTTTTTTTTACCAGACAGGCGCTTTAACCAACTAAACAACGGCGCCGCTCCAAATATATTTAAAAAAAAAAAAAAACTGTTTTGTATTAGGATGTATCTTCATTGCCTAGAACAGTCCCTGACACCTAATAGCTGTTCAATAAGTACGTCCTATCAATGAATTCTGTATGAGAGTACCTAGCATAGTGCTGGCACACAGAGAGCACCCAAGAAATAAAGGTTCCATAGTAAGTTGTTCTCTGAATGGAGTGTGTAGTTTAGCCACATATTCAAGCCACAAGTGTGTTCGGGATGACACTCCAACCAACTGAACCTCACAGGTTAGGAGGGGAGATTTTAAATGCTAGTGAAACTCCTAAAAAAACAGATTAACCAGGAAGAAACTACCCTGTTCTTGGAAAAGAAGTCATAAAGATGACTTTGGTGCAAAGTCATAAAGATGTCAAGTTGTAGTAAATCATATATTTCAATGAAAATGCCAATACTGCATACTCCAAATACCAACATAATTTTATAATAGTCTATCAAGAAAGAATAATGCAAGGGACTAGTCTTTAATAGATGTAAAAATACATTACAAAGTTTCAGAATTTCCATAATTTGATATGAATAGACAAAGTTCACTTCAAAAAATTGGCTCTGCATACATACTTGCAAATGAACAGTTTATGTGCAGGTGTGTTTCACTGCAGCATTATTTTTAATAGCAAAGTGATGAAACAAATGTCTATTATTAAAGTAAAAATGATTTTTAACAATAGATTATAATGTGGTCATACTCTTAAAAATTTTAAGACTGCCCCTTATCCAGTGAAAAGTGACAAAATCATTTGAAAATGAAGACATTTTTATTTGATATATAACTTCTGTGATGTAAACATCTATCTAGGAAGGTGGGGTTTTTTTCTCCTTAAAACTGGAAGACATTTTCACAGAGAATGCAGTAGACTAACCTCAATACCTTGCTATCAAAATAGAAGTTAGCCCATTTTAGGTAGTGAGAATTGACCTGGTTAAAGAATAGAGATCATCGTGTCCAAAGAGTTAATACAATGTTATTCTAGGAGAAAAGGTCTGAATTTTAAATATGCTGCAGTTTAGAGGGCCCCTAAAAATAGTGTCTCATATTTTAAAATCTGCCCCATTTTAATAAAAAAAAGAACGCTTTCAAAATATCTGAAAATGGATAACATTCCTGTGGGAGTTGTTTTCTTTGGTGCAAAGAAGCTGGGGCATCAGTCCTTCTACAAACGTGTCAATCAAATAAAAAAATGTTATGTTAGTCATAGAAAGTACACTTGGTAATTTCATTTTTCCATATCTGACATCTCTAGAATTCTCAGCAGTGCTCAAGATTGCGTTACCATAATTCTAGCAAACTCACTAATAGGTGCATTTTATCAGAACATTTCTTTAAGAGAGCCCTCAGCTTCCTTATCTCAGTTACCTTCTACTAACCTTCCTCTTCAACCTGACAAAGGACAGATAAATGCCTACTCACAATGTCTGGTTGTCTACAGACACTGCGTGTGTCTGCCAGAGAAGGACTCTACCCTGAAATGGAAGTCAGCGATCGGATATATAAACTGGTGTCTGCATTGCCAGAGCTTTCCTTTCCTCCCCTAAAAACTGTTTTGGTTCCCTAAGTCTTGTGGATTCCTAGCTTTCAAAAGGTGCTCCTAATACAAATCTTAAAACCCTCCCTATAACAGGAATAAAGTATTGCTTCAGAGAATACAAAAATATTAAGCAGAATCCTTGCCTTCAAAAACATTATCTGCCTCACTTGCTGGAATGTTAATTCTAAGAAGACATGGGCGTTCTCAGTCCTGTTCATCACTCAATCTACAGCACTTGGAACAGTACTTGGCAAAAGGGATCGAAATACTTGTCAAGACATGGATGCACCAATGAACGTGAAAACAAAGACAACACGCTTTGAACAGTAAGAGAATGCACTGTGTTTTACTGTGGGACTACTCTAAGGCCAATAGAAGTGAAAAGAAGGAAGAAGAAGAGGGCAGACTAGACTAGCCAGGAGGAAATGGTAACATTCTAGAAGGAAGGACCTGGATGGGCGAGGAGGAGGGGAATAAGATGGGCAGAGACTAGAGGTGGGAAGGACCAAATGTGTTAGCAGGAGAATGAAGAGGCTTGGGTGACAAAGGAGAAGGTGTACATGGGGGAGCCGTGGAAGCCAGGTTGAAGGAAGAGAGGGAGGAAAGTGAGAAGACTGCAGAGGCCTGGAAAACCACCAAGTGCATCCCACTGGGTTGGAGTTTCCATTTAAAAATCATTTTTCACACCCCCCAATTTAACCTTTAATGGAAAATTCCTCCGAAAAGATATAAATCTTAAAAGGGAATAGGGCAATGGGGCCAGTAATCAATCCTGGGGGCCCACATAAAGGTATAATTTGAGTTATAAAAAAGTCTTAAAAGTTATAATAAGTTCTATAGTTTACTAAGACTAATGGTTTATCAAAGAACAATAAAAGTCACAGGCCTAAATTCACTAGCAATTTTCACACAAAGATAACCTTTTTTCTGAAGTAGAAATTCACTTTTAATATCACAGCAGGGTATATTTAATAGATTAAAAAAAAATTTCGTAACTGTTCATATTACCCATAGAATGACGCCACTCACTAAATCTGGAACACCTAGAGATAAGTAGGCGTCAAAAGCTCTGAATGGTTCTTTATGAGACCGTCACCGTTTGGAAGACAGCTTCAGATAAACCTAACAATTGAGATGCTGTAAATACATTTGCTCTTTCACCAGTCTCTAGCTATATTTAGCAGCACCGTTTCCTTTGTTCGAGAATTATTCTTGATTATTGCACAACTTATGTTCTCAAAGGCAGACTACCTTGGACATATTAGGTAAATGAATGGATGGCTGCAAGGATGAACAAATGAATGAAACATAAAAAAAACACAAAACTGTATTAAGATCTTTGAGGTATCACTGCTATATGCCTCACCCAGGAACACCCTAGCTCTTCCTTGGCCAGGGCTAAAGCTCCTGGGCTTTCCCACCAGATCTTTCATATTTAGCAACAGCCAGGCTGGGATTACAATGGAACAGAGGAGGTAAGGACGTAGACAAGGGAAGAGCATTATTCTGGGCAAGGTTGGTGGCGTTTACGAGAGCAGGGCTGGATTTACTGGGAAGCTAATGAAGCTTAACTGCCACGAGGAGCCCTAGTAATGCGTTCACTTGGTAGTATGCTTCTGTAAAATTTGCTAAAGTAAGGTATAATCAAATTCATCACCCTAAAGGGGGCCCTCAACATAAGTTTCAGGCCCCACACAACCTGGGTCTGCCCTGTGTGAGAGGCAGGCAGAGGCTCGATGGCAGGAAGAGTGCTGGTTGTTAGAGAACATGGTCAGGGCAGTGAAAATGGGAGCTCAGAGGGCCAGTCCAACCTCTCTGTAGCTTTTTGTTCCTTTTTTTAAAAAAGCATAATTTCCTAGGCTCCCAGTTCTCAGATCATGATTTTTCCTTTTTGCTTTTCTATCTTCTTTGCAAATGAAGTCACAGGAGACATTTAGCTGTTATAAACTTCATGTCAAGCTCTGAAGTGCTTTTTAATAGCAGAAATATTTGGCTCACATATGTGGGCTTTGTAGCTGTGGTAAATACCTCTTCGTTATCTGTCGCGACTGTTATCCCACATCTCCAATTTGGAGAAGAGATTCTGCATATGCATCGAGGCATTAAAAAAAGGAATATTGTGCCATATCTTAGCTCTTTTGTGAGTGGTTTCCTTTTCTTTCTTCTCATGTGGAGCTAAGGCTTTTATCATATTGCACTGGTCATGGGTGGGAAAGCAGTAGATGGCAGGGGAATACTGATTATTACATCACTGGTTGGCAGTTTCCTCTTAGCTTCTTAAAGGTTAAGTGGTCAAGTAGCTTCTTAATAAAAGATCAAGGCATTTCAAGGACTAACTCATTCACCTGTTTTCTGACAAAGCTTTGCTTTAGTAGATTTTGGACAAAATGCTTGCAGTGGTTAAAAAGGAAGAAATTGACCAGAGTTGATATGAAATAAAGACACACACACACACACACAAAAAAAACTACCTTGGAGTAGTTTTTTTTGACATATAGACTATATGTCTACGAGGTACATATCAGAACAATATATTTAGAAGTAGCATTTTGAGAACAGATAATAGAAACAAAGGCCATGTAGTAAGCATTTTTTGAATATGTACTGTGTGGAACAATGCCATTTTACTTCTTTTTTGTAACTTAATTATTTTATGAAGGGATGATAGAAAATACTATTACACTTCGTAAGTTAAACACTTGACATTTTGATTTCTCAAAATGCAACATTTTTGAAGTCTAGATATGTTTATTTATTAGTGATTATTAACACCCAGTAAACAACATTGTGTCTTGTAAAAACACAACCTCTCTTCACAGCATGATGCTGAAATCTATTATTCCCTGATTCCATATGCTGAAATACACTCAAATGCTCACAAATGACCTTAAGCATTCCATAAATGTAAATGAGGACAACATAGCAAGTGTGCATTTGATTGATAACTAAAAGACCATGTTGAGAACCACATCCAAAAAGGAAGTCCTCTCCAGAAGGGCCTGGAGTCTGCGCTGGAAGCAATGGCTCCTAAGAATGAGGAACAGGTGCAGATTGCTCTTCCTAGGACCTGCCAGTGGTGTTCTGGGAAACAGAACCAGTTTGTTCATTTATATAAAAACACACAGCACACTGCTCCTTGTGCCATCAGCCAGCATTTTCATACAGGATTGAAAAATGCATATCTGGCCCTGGCTGGTGTTTCTCAGTGGTTAGTGCATCAGCCCATAGACTGAAAGGTCTCGGGTTTGATTCCTGGTCAAAGGCATGTACAAGAATCAACCAGTGTTAGCATCAATAAGTGGAACAGCAAATCTGTCTCTTTCTCTTCATTTCCTTTCCTCTCTAAAAAAGAAAAAAGTCTATCAATGAATACATAATTAAATAAAACAGGTGGCCGGGATTCTCTCAACCTCACACAGTACACTCTCAACCCTACATAATTTCCACCCAGTGTACAATATGTTTATCTTCAGTTTTTCCTCATCTATTTATTTAGGGTAATAAGAATACCTGCCTGCTTCATTATGGTTTTTGTGAACATTGAATAAGATACTTATAAAATGCTTAGAACAGTAAATGCTCACTAAATGTTTGCTCTTATTTTTTTAAAATATATTTTATTGATTTTTTTACAGAGAGGAAGAGAGAGAGATAGAGAGCTAGAAACGTCGATGAGAGAGAAACATCGACCAGCTGCTTCCTGCACACCCCCTACTGGGGATGTGCCTGCAACCAATGCACATGCCCTTGACCGGAATCGAACCTGGGACCTTTCAGTCCGCAGACCGACGCTCTACCGCTGAGCCAAACCGGTTTTGGCTGCTCTTATTTTTAATGATCACCCAGAGTATGGACAAAAGCACTTTAAACCAGAGCGTGTTGATGCAGGAAGGTAACTTACCAGCTTGATACGTTCTGAGTCTTAAACACACCAGCCTTCTGATTCCTTTGGACGATGTCTCTCACATCTGTTGGACGTAGTTAAGAAAGCTTCTGCTGTCAATGGACTAAAAACAAATAAATAAAAGCCCACAACCACAGGGATGTTACTGGACAGGGGGTCAGTGACAAGAGAAGAGGTGTAGGGTTATATAAGGCAGGTGGAGAAGGTTCTAGCTCTGGCCCTCCCACCAAATGTTGAATTACTTGCCACAGGCAAGCTCTTTGAATTCCCTGGGCTGCAGTGTTGTTACCTGGGAAATGGACACTCAGGGAACATCCGGGCAAGGCCCACTGTGGGCACCGGTGGGGGAGATGACTCTCCCCTAGGTACAAGCCCCACTTGCTTCAAAAGCAAAGGTCCGCAGTCACCGGGGAGGGCAATGGCAGTCTCCTGAGACGTTCCAGGGTGAAAGCTAGGAGAGAGGGTGGGATGAGCAGCAGAGAAGATTTGGGAGGAAGTGAGATGAGGAAGATGAAGAGAAGCCCAGAGATTCTTTGAGAGAAAATAAATTACTAAAGAACATCAACCGGGGGAAAGGCCCCTCGATGCACTGTCCTCATGGTCTTACCCTCCAGCCTTTGGCCATCTGCTGGTGTGTAAGCACTTGTGCAAAAAGAGCCATGTCTATTGGAAAGTGTTTTTGGGGTGCTGGTCATTTACATCACACAACACCATTGCCAGGAGAGCCCCTGGGAAAAATCACACTGGGTGTCAGCATGGGAAATGCTAGACTTCAGATTGACAGTTATAATAGTTTTGCTTCAACTTCTATAAACCTTATAACTGTTCCTCTTTCTCTTTTTGCTCTAGTCCCTGTGCTTCTCAGACCCAAGTCTGACAACCACAGCAGCTCCTCCCTGCTGGGTGTATTTTCTATACTGACCTCCACCCCTGGCTTCATCATGTGTTCTTGGCTTTCTAATTTTCAATTGCCCTCACTTTCTCACTTATTGCATATGGTATATTCTACATATCACTGTAAGAAACCTCAAAATCCCTCTTTTGGAATAAGGCAGGCTTAAATAAACAAGAAATAAAATAATTCCAGCGAAGGCTGCAAGCTGAACTAAATTGGGCCCATGGGGAGGACACCAAGCAGACAAGCGATGTTCCCCTATTGCTCAGAAAAACACATTTCCTGAATGCTGGAGGCGAGCTCTGGCCCAGGTCTCCCTGCAAGAACAGAGCCACAGGGTGCTCTAACCCACATCTCTGCTTGAAACACCAGGCACACCCATTTCTTCTCGGAGTGAATGAGCAGGTACTGCGATAGCTTTCTTCCCCCGGAGCGGGGAGGAAAAATCAATTAGGTCTCCTAATGAAGGGCTTTGTTGAGGTTTACAAAAGTGCTATACTGCAGACTTTTTTTTTTTTTTCTTTCCTGGATGAACTTTCCTGTATGCAAATTAAATACCGTTAAATTACATTCATTAAAAAAATGAAAGAGACTAATTTGCCTACTTGTTTTGATTAACTGAAATGACACATAGGCCTACAGTTCTATTTCAGGAAGAAAGTATTTCAGGAAAGTCTTCTACGTGAAATGTCTTGTAGAGAAGGACAGCTGACATCTTTATTCTGAGAACAAAATGAGTAGTCAGCTGACAACTGGTTTTTGACTGAGCTCCCCCACACGCTGGCCACACCCTAGTCAGTGTTTCCATGGCAGCCAACTGCAAGCCATAATGTGACAGGTACACCTGTCGTGACCTGTGAGTACATGCCTAATCTATCAAGCAAAACATGTTATTTTGTTACTGGAGGTAATACTTTTTATAAAATAGTCACAGGGAAGTTAAATTATATAACTCAGAAAACCTATTAATAATTTTTAGTAAACATCTTAACACTATATACTTTTATACCATTTATAAACCTGTGACTGCAGGTGGTCAGGCTGAAGCAAGCATATATATTTATATTCTAGGAGCAATTTTTTTTAAATGAAAAAATTCGCAGCAGTATTTAGGCTGCTTTATTTTTAGAACTGGGAAGAAAATATACTTGGTTTAGAAAGAAAAAAAAAAGTCAATCATGTGTAAAAATACTACCTTAAGAGAGAGATTCTGACATTCTGATCCCTACCCTTTACTTTAGATGGGATTTCTGGGTGGTTTCTCTAGTTGGCACTGTGCCCAATAATAAATATTGCCTTTCTTCTGTGTCACCTCAGCATAATAAAGGAAACTCAATCCAATGGAGTTAGTCCATCTGGGACAGTTCTGAACAGGATGGACCCAATCGTGTTCTCTAAACTGCACACACCTTCTGGGAGACTTCAGTGGGAGGTGCTTGGTCATTTACATCACACAACACCATCTCCAGAAGGGCCCTGGGAAAAATCACATTGGGTTGTCAGCATGGGAAATGCTAGGCTTCAGATTGAGAAATCAGAGAGATTTCTGGTTCAATGGATGCAGAGTAATCACCTCCAATCGCCTTGCCTGGGCAAGCAGACTTCCAGAGCCAGAGGACACATGCTTGTGGCTAAAAGGAGGCCAGGATTCTAGCTCCACATGTTCTTCTCAAATGAAGCAAAGTTTAGGAGTGGGGCTCCATTATAATTTTGCTTCAGTTGATTTTTATTTTTAAAATTATATTTTTGCATAATAATACCACTTATTTTAACAAATTATGTTACATATTATACATGATATTATTTAAAATATTAATCTCCTGCAATTAGTGGTTGCTATATTTATCAGTAGTCACATATACATTCTGGAGAACTGGTATTGTTGTTTAAACAAGAAAGCGTTTGAAAAAGAACATTGCGATTCACAAGGCATTACTTCCTTGGTTCATGTTTCCTTTATTTTTTCACTGGGACATCAAAGGTGAGAGCAGGAAACTATGAAATTATTATGTAAACCCTGTTTATTTTTATTTCTAAAGTTTTTTAAATTACTTGATGTGGCAATATTTGCTAATTTAAAGGTCACAAAATATTCCTAAGTGTGCTTATTACTCACATGAATTGAGAAGATGGCAGAGAGGTGATCTGAACTCTTTTAGCAATGTCAACTGTGGTTTATGGATGAGAGAACTTTTCTTGCAGAGGGCGCTGAGGAAATGCAAGAGGACCTTCATCCAAGCATCCTAGCTTTTGGTAAAGAGAGTTGTTTAATGGGAGAAAAATGCACTTTGAAGTCAACTGACCCTGGCTTCTAGTCTGGTTCTGATTCTCAGTGGCTGTGCAAACGTGAGTCAGTTAACCTCCCTGAGCGCCATCTCAAAAACAGGAATGATGATCCCTATTCTATAGGCTTAATGGGTCACATACGGGGAACCTGACACATAGTAGGTGCCTAATTCATGTCAATTTATTGTCTTTTCCAATAATTCAAATAAAAGCTTTGGAGCGATGAAGAGGCTGCTGATTGTAACTCAAATGAGATTTGGCAATTAGGCTTTACCTTCTTTCCCTGCCACTCAGAGTCAATTAAGTGAACATTTATATTGTAGAATTCTAATAACTGGAGGGAATCCAAGAACTTGTGCCCTGTAGATTTACATGTATAAATGTGCTCTAGCCAAGGCGAAGCCTGTGACCCACAAGACAGGGACTTGGTCTGTCTTATCCTCTGCTGTCTCTTGAGCACCTGAAATGTCGGCAATTAATGCTGGTTGAATTAATTTTAATTAATTAACTAAAAATCAAGTTTCAAAGCTACTTCTTGAGTTCTTGCCCAGTATGAGGCACACAGAACTCCATTTATGACTCATCTTGTAAACAGGAGTGCTGGCATCAAAAGTTCAGCTGGCATGGGTATTGCAGGAAAGGTCTGGATGGAGAAGGAGGGCCCGGCATTCCCAAGGTCCCAACTCTCCCCAATCAGGCTGCACTGTCCACATGCAGCTTCCCTGATCAATGCCTTAAACCAGGGATTCTTTTAAAATAATGGTAAGCCAGGGTATCCTCTAAAATGGACATGAAATTAACCAAATTTGGAAGAATCTTAAGTTTGAGATCATGATCCGGACTGTGCACTCCGTGGGGATGAGATGCTTGGGTCAGGGGCACAGCAGATGTGTCACCAAGCATTGCCAGATGCTGCAGTTGACAACTTGGTGTTTACCGAGGAGGGGTCAAGGCGGGGTGCTTGCATTGGGCGAGTAGTGAGGGCTGCTCTCCTTTAGATGTTGTACTTTTATTCATTATGATTTGGAAGAAGCTTAGCATAATAATAACTCAATATATCCTTTCTCTCCTCTATTCTTATGTCATTGCCATCGCCAGCTACAAATTTTAAGGAGTAATTATTATCTGTGGGCACTTGGAGAATTCTTAATTACACTAAAAGAGCAGCACCAAAGGCAAAGATAAATTTGAGAAATGGATGAACCAAATGATGCTATTTTTTAACTTATCCTTTGTTCTCTCTGGGTATAGCTAAATGATGGCTGTAAGGAGAGGCCCTCTGAGGTAGGGGACTCTGTAGTTTAAGGACCACGGAGAGCCTCGGAGACATCCACCTAGGAGTCTGAGAAAATGTTCAGACTTACAACATCCGCTTATACCTTAAGCCTTCACCTCTTTTCAGCTATCTCTGTTTAATAAATCTCAAATCGACATCTAGCTTTCCAGGTCAAGGTAGAGAGCTCTAGACAGCGGTTGCCAACCAGCAGTCGGTGGACCACTAGTGGTCCGTGAGGTCCAAAAGGTTGGCGACCACTGCTCTAGAAGATACAGCTAATCCACTTGATACATGTTAGGAAGATAGTGAATAAAATAACCTCACAACTGGTTGATGTGTTTCTATGATATAAAGATTCATAACAACACATCCTTTCATTGCCTCACAGATTTAAAAATCAGAAATAACAGAAGATAAAAAGAAAATATCAGGAAATGCCCTATTTTTTATTTTTTTTAAAGGTAAGAATCAGAATGTTAGAAGAGTAAGAGACTAGGAAGTAAAGCTCAGCTAGATTTATTAAATTCAGATGACAAGAACAACAGAAATGATTTTTTAAAAGATGAGAATAATATACAGGCCAATACTCAGATGTGATGCGCAATTGCCAGGTCGACTTTCAATTACATTTCCCTGATGTATTCATTTGTTTCTTAATGTGCTCATCTTGCCCATTAAGAATAATTAGCAGCTTTGCTTAGAGATTTTTTCTGGCTCTGGCAATGTTTCTCCCCCACTTTTGATTTTTTTTTTTTTTGGTTGACATCCACTTTTACTTTATAGAAAGTAATTTTTGAATAATATCCTACCACTGCTATATAATTTAAGCTTCCTAAAATTTTAAAGGAAAGATGTAAACAGTAATTTTTAAATGAGTCTGTTTCAATCCATATGCATCCACAGCATGTGATTCAGTGAATTAGTCATTCTAACAGAAAATGGGCACACACACAGAAAAAAAAATTTTTTTTCATTCATATTAACCTCCCTCAGCAAAACTGCTCAGGATGAATGCCAGCTGTAAGCTCTGTGAGCAAGTCAGGATATCATTAGTATTAAGAGCAGGAAAAACACATTGCCAGTTTTTTAAGGCTTGATGCATGCTTGTTTCTTTTAATTAAAAAAAAAAAAAAAAGATCTAGTTACCACAGAAAGATGCACACAAACATAGAACAAACGGCATGGCAGAAACTGCACTGCACTAGGAAGGTCCTGAGAGATGCAATAAAACACTGCCCGTTTGGGTCTGCATCCTGAAAGGCCCTACTTTATCTACATTGTAGAGTTCCTCCCCTCCTGCCCTCTGGCACCCCGCTATATTAAACTCATTGTAAACCCTGGCACAATAAAGCACTCTCAGGGCTGAGCTTCTGAGGATCAAATGTTAAAAATCCATTTTCTTGGGAGGGGGCTGCACCAATCATTTCTTTGAAAGGCCGGCAGGGTGAATACAGAATCTGAGATTTCCTCTCTGATTTCAGGAGCCGGCCTGGCATCTTTGCTGTTTTAAAGCAGAGGTGCGTTAATTACTGACTTAGTGTTGCTTCTTTTCTTTGAAAGCTCTGCAGTGGAGCTCGATCCTGATTCTAGTGTCATTAAATTTACATGCGGACTACAGATGTTTCCCAGAGTTGGTTAAAAGTTCTAATTGGTTCCTGAGCCTGTTAAATGAGTCACCTGCTGACTTAAGGACACCCTCAGGTTGCTGGGCCCAAGCTGAAAGTTTCTGTGGCCAAAATGACCATCTCTTGCCCAAGAACCCTACCCCCGCTTTTCGCCCCTGGAAGCACAGATCCGCTGGGGCTGAGCCGGAGGCATACCTGACTCCCTCTCTCGCTCTGTGTTCCCTGACATGCGGAGGAGGAGCACGGGGAAATGATAGCGTGCACAGAATAACCCAGAATAAAAGCAGAGTGAATGAACAACATGGGCTCATCTGCAGGAATATTTTGAGAAACTTGCGACAGCCTGAAGATCATGATTAAAATCCTGAATTTTAAAAAAGGAAGCACCTTTTGTGATCTCTTTCCCTTGTGTGAAAGGCCAAGCCTGTGATTGGCTGTTTTTCCTTCCTGAAAATTTTTTTTTCTTTTTTAAGTCTGTCAGGCAATTAGCAGGGTGGGGCTCACAAGTGCGGCTGCACCGTATCAGCTACTGTGCTTCTGGTACCTCCTTCCTCCTTTCGGAGCAGCCTGATGGAGCTGCTGCAAATTTTATTTAAAAAAAAAATATTACAGAGTGGAGGTAACAAAAGAAAATAATTTTTAAAAAGGCTTTACGTAAGATGCCACAAAAAAAAAAATCAGGCCTGCTTTGACATTTTAGGAGTCTCGAATTCAAATAAGGAGATTACCTTCTTCAGAATGTAAATGGAAGGCACACCAAAAAACCCAAAGCAAACATATCTTCCACTTTTCCTCTCAATTTCTAACGGCTGTTAACTGCCCCTGAGCAAATCAGCTCGATTGCTAAAGTAGCTACAAATTATGCTTGCTTTCTTAGTTAAAGTACAGTTCAATTTTCATGAACTCTGTGTACATATTAGTAAAGCATAATCTAATAGAATGAGGTTTGAACTGTAATAGCATGGCAGGGAAAAAGAGATAGCTTTTATAATCCTAAATAAAAGGAAATAATGAAAACATGCTAGCTGTTTTTCAGCGGGGAGATAGAAGTAAACCCTCAGAAATTAGAGTAGGCATGACATTACATGGCACAGACGTGCACGATCAAACACAAGAAGGTAAAGATGAACGTGAACTTGGAAGCTAATTTTTGTGTGCAACAGCCAATATCGTAAATATTAAATCATTTATCTTGTGCTGGCAAATTTCAATGGAAATAAAAATAAAAAAACCCACAAGAATGCCTGAAAATTATTTGGGAACAAATGTTCTTCCTGCCTTGAATAGTCCACAAATCATAGGTTCCTTTAAGAAGTGACCATTCAAAGCTATCAAAATAAAAAACACTTCATCTTGCCCCATGAACTCCATATAGTTCTACTTTTTCTTAATTACTTATCATATGTATGGGAGAAACTCTTTTATAATACCCCATGCTGTCTTCCTTTATATCAATTGTTCCTGGAGGGGGTTAGGGGTGGAGGGAGGAAAGAACGCACCAAACCCCGTTTCCTATCTGAATAAGGATACTTCTGATGGCCTTTTCATTCCCATCAGTTAACAGAACTTCTTTGACATCTGCAGAAATAGCAACCTGGAAAAGAAAAAAAAAAAAGAAAAGAAAAAAAAAAAGGAACACAGCAAACAATGAGCAAATATGCTTGTCTGTGTGGAAGTGAAGACAGGAGTGACAAGCCTTCAGTATCATGCTTCCTCACCTATTTCTCTGTAACAATCTTCAATCTTTTTTCATTTTATGTCTGCATTATTTTAATCATTCAATCAAATCAGTCAATACTTTTATCATTCCATTTGCGGGAGCCTCTATCTTGCTATCATTCTGTTCGGTAATTGCATTGTGACAGCGGATGATGGTATTCTGAGAGGCTTTCATTTGTGGGCTTCTGTTTATCTAGTGGAGCCATCATACGAGGCTGTCACTCTGCCTTTCAGCCTGCTTCTGTCTGACTGCCTGATGCCCTTCATATAACTTTGCATTGCAGGCAGATGGCTTTGTGAGGGTAATTTTTTTGTGAGCTTTGACATGCTCGCACATTGGGCTGTAACCTCGACACATTGTGTGAGAGCGACAGGTTTGTCAAATGCCAATCAGGGTAACAATATGCTTTTATTTGTAGAGACATAAAAACTTGTCTAATGCACTGTGCCGCTACATAGTATCTCCTGAATACATGACTCAGAACCCAGAGAATGGGGAACAACGTTCCTGAATGGCCAATCTAATTCAAAAGAATCTAATTACGGAGCGCTCTGGATCATGTTTGTTGGTATAATAATGCAGGCAAAACATTAGCAGCTATATCATGGTGCTCCAACTGTGATTCGCCGGGCTATTCCTGTATCTTAGCAAATGGGACTATAATCTGAAAGGGGAGGGGGGAAAAATGCTTTCGCTATGGCAAAGAAAGACTGCGAGAGGCCTGGAATGTCACGACAAGCGATATCGACTCACGGAGGTAAAAATGTTTCTGCTCATCGAGGCAGCCATAAAAAATCAATATGATCCGAAAGTAAGTCAATCTAGAAGGTCTCTCAAGACCCGGCAGCTTGACCGCAGCTGACGCTGTTGACGGTTCTCTGACCCAGCAGTTGGAGGCCCTGGAACATTTTTCCTATTGTTCCTCCCTCTGAATGAGATTGGAATTGAGAAAAGACCTACCATGAGCCCAGCCAAGCATGTCATGCCACCCCCTAGCTCACACACAGCAAGGTCCCTGAAAGAGAGAAAAGAAATGGTAGAACCCATACAAATGAGATGAAAATGGTCACAGAGATATATATATGTTACAAGAACAAATTGCCATCTGCAGGAAGAACGGCGCTACCAGGAAGTTGCGGAGACATGACTGGGCTACCTCATGTCGTTTTGCGTTTTAAAAATAATTATGAAATAGAAAAGTCACAAAGCAGGCAACCCAGTGGGGGTCCCCTCATTAGTGTTCACTGCAACATTGCCACCGCTGAGCTGAAAAATCTGAGAAGGTTCCCTTTTTTCCCCTTGTCAATGGCGCTGTCTTTTAGGACTAAACTAGCTAGAGTAGCGAAAGATAATTGTCAGGAAAGGGTAACACTGTTAATCCACATTCACTCCTTCAAAAACAGTTAGACAAGTAAATGAAGAATATATCTGAGTGTGTCTAGACCTATATTATAGTCACACACACACACACACACACACACACACACACACACAAAATAAATGCAATCTTGAATTTAGAAGAAAAAAAAAATAATGTAAAACAAACCAAAACATTTGGGGAAAGCTGAACCGCCCCCATAAAGAACAATTACACAAAGAGCATTTAGCAATTAACACTTAAGTCACAATTGACCCCTATGCAACACAGTGAATAAACAATGCAGGGACATAATATGGTGAAGCCAGCAAACCCAGCTAAAGTAATGACTGGGCGCTGACTTCGCTGCTCCCCGCTCCCAAGTAGAGCGGCTCCAACTTAAAGCTGACAAGGCTAACGTGGCACTCTGCACTTACCTTCCTCTTTGTGCCTAAATATCAGTGCTCCACGGGTGACATCCTCGCCCCGGCCCCCTGCCCGCTGATTGGAGCTCCAGTCAAGCTGAAGCACAGCGAGATGAGCAAATGCCAGGCGTTCAGGGCAGGCAGCTCTGCAGCCCAAATTCAATACCGCCCTGTTTTTTTTTTTTTTATTCTACATGTTTAGATTCTTAAGATTGTTTCTTCATTCCAGTTTGGGAAGTTTATTACCTCACCCAAAGGGCGAGGGAGGGCAGGGAGTGGGGTGGGAAGCAGCACTAAAAGGGAGGGAGAGGTGGAAAGAGAAGGAAGGGGAGGGGAAAAAGCCAAACAAGAACATTCCTAGTCCAAAATACACTTAATGGGCATTTAGTTGTTCAAAGCAATTACAGTCTAGTTGGTAAATATAGACCCATTGAACTTCAAAAAATATACATTATTGACCCAGCCTTGTAAGTACATATTGCTAAAAACACACACGCCATGATCTCTAACAGCTTGTCTGGAATCATAATGGGCTATTCAGGAAGCTTCTGCTGGATGACTTCTATAAAATGAGATTTAAAATGAAAAACCTTTATTTTCTGGGTCTACCAAACATCTTTATAATTTTCAAATAAAAGGTGTTGTTTTTTGTTTGTTTGTTTTCCCTAAATCTCATGCATGGGTTGGATCTATAATGCACACTGACAGTTGAAAACATTTATTTCTGTAGCATGAATCTGTAATTACTATGTATTACTACTATATTTTATAAATGCACGTTGTTAGTATACAAAACACCTTTACAAACCAGGGGTGGGATGGCACCCTTAAATAATAGCTGTGGGATATCTATTTAAAATTCTGTAGTGACTTCTCTGGCAGAAGTTTAAAGAAAGTCTTTATTGTCTTTGTGGGTTTTTGTGTTTTTTTTTTTGACCTTTACAATCAGTAAGGATTGATTGGAGCTTCACTTTTGTTTCTCCAAAATCAAAGTGAAATAAAAAGCCTTGAGTGAAAATCAAAAGCTTTTGACATATAGCAAAAAGCTTGCTGTGCAATATTAGTACCCGAAGGCAATTCGGATTTTTTTTTAGAAGCAACATGTTTCGCCAAGAACTTTTTCTCCTTTCTGTTTTCTTTTACTCTCTCTCTCTCTCTCTCTTCTTTTCTTATCTTTTAAACAATTTAATTTGAAGAGTGTAATCATAACAATCTTTTACATGCAGATACAATACCCATCATGGGCTGGGGGAGAAAAGTATTTTTCAGTGCAGCTTTGTACCTGAAGATCTCACTGTGCTTGAGGCAGTAGTAAGCCAATACCTCTTCAGCCGGCCAGATGCCTGAAAAACACAAGGGCATACACCTTTTGTTATTATAGAAGTCTCTTCTATACGCATTCTTTGTAGTCATGCCCCTAAGAAATGGCTTTTAAAAATTATGTTCCGTGTAAGCCATGTTGACTTTAAACAAATGTAACACAATTATTAGTAGCATTATATCACGAGTTTCTTTGGTTGTTGATTTTATGATGGTAAGATTTATAACTCAGGAAAATGGTACAATAGTCTAAATAAATTTTACTAAATGTCAATCACAACAAAACAGCAAACATAATAATAACCAAATTTCAAATATTAAAAGTTAAATTTTAATGGGATTTCAGGGAGATCCTAGTGTTGTGCACAAGAACCTTCTTCTTCAATTCATAAGCATCAGTGAAAGACCTGCTGTCCATGCAACTTATGTTAGGCAACAATAAATGGAAAAATCACTTACAGGAGCAAATAAAACCACTGCGGTCATGATACCTTTTTGTTTGATTCCATGCTAATTTTTAAAAATATGCACAGTTTTACCCTTTCTCTAATTAATAAAAATCAAACTGGAGCATAAAATTAAGAAATTTAAAATTTTCCAACTTTGGTACCTCATTAAATTTAACAATAACCCTTTCAACTAAATTCATGAATGGGCATTTTCTAAAATCATCATCTATAAATTATTTATTTAAAAGACTTAAGTAGTCTTCATGAATGTATATGAATTGCTTAAAGAGGAGACAAACATGTTAGGAAATTACAGTTCCTAGTAGTTATCACAGTTAAGTTTTCCCTTTATACTTTTATGTTTCCCAAAATTTTTACAATACATATGTATGACTGTAATAATCAGAATAAATAATAGCCTTATTATTTAAATAAATAATAGCCTTATAAAAATTACTCAATGCACAAAATTCATGCATGGAAGGGGATCCCCTCAGCCCAGCCTGCACCCTCTCCAGTCCAGGACCCTTCAAGGGATGTCCGACTGCCGGCAGTCAGACATCCCTCTCACAATCCAGGACTGCTGACTCCTAACTGCTCACCTGCCTGCCTGATCACCCCTAATTTCCCCCCCTGCCAGCCTGATCACCCTTAACCACCTCTGCCTGCCAGCCTGATTGTTACCAATGGCTCCCCCCTTCACTGGCATGGTTACTCCCAACTGCCCCCCGCTCCTGCCAGCCTGGTCGCCCCACACAGCCTGCTGTTCAGTCGTTTGGTCATCCCTCACTAACCCCCCTGCCAGCCTGGTCACCCCATGCAGCCTGCTGTTCCATCATCTGTCTGGTTGTTTCAGTCGTGACGGCCCCTGGCTTTTTATATAATGGTCAGACTCAAAGATCAGGCAGGGCACCAGCATCCTGCATGGCTGTGCAGTCCTGGGAAAGAGTAGTGAGTGTTCACTTAGTTCTAAACTCTCTTATAATAGGTCTTGATGCAAAACTGAAACACCTAACAACACTTAATTTTTTTTCCCTCCCAGATACATCTCTAGCTTTGAGGAGTTAAGAAATCTGGCATTTCAGAGAAAAGGATGTCAAAAATTGGTAAGTAAAATCTTAAAAGAATTAATGGGTAAATATATGAACTGCAAAGTGATGACCCCATAGAGCATTTGCTGCAGCAAAGTCTCAGCCCTGGTTGGGTAGTTCAGTTGGTTAGAGCATCATCCTGATTCACCAAGAGTGCAGGTTTGATCCTGGTCAGGGCACATGCAAGAATCAATCAATGAGCACATAAATAAGTGGAACAACAAATTTGTCTGTCTTTCACATGCCCTCTCTCTAAAATCAAACAATAAAAAAATTCTTTAAAATGAAATAGAGAATCAAATCAGCAATTAGGAATATAATGAAGCAAAAAATACCCAATCAGAATAGCAAAAAGAAAAAAGAATCACCTCCCCAAAAATGAAAATAGTGTAAGAGGCCTCCAGGACAACTGCAAGCGTACCAACTTTCACATCATGTAGGTGCAAGAAGGAGAAGAGAAAGAGCAAGAAATTGAAAAACTGTTTGAAAAAGTAATGACAAAACTTCCCTAACCTGGTGAAGGAAATAGACATACAAGTTCAGGAAGCGCAGAATCCCAAATGAGACAAACCCCACCTCAAGACACATCATAATTAAAATGCAAAAGGTTAAAGAAAAAGAGAGAATCTTAAAAGCAGCAAGAGAAGAGCAGTTGGTTATCTATAAGGGAGTGACCATATGACTCTCAACTGATTTCTCAACAGAAACTTTGCAGGCCAGAAGGGAGTGACATGAAATATTCAAAGTGATGAAAAGTAAGGTCCTATAACCAAGATTACTCTACCCAGCAAAGCTGAGGCTCAACTGGAGAGGCCAACACCCCCTTAGGGAAGCTGTTGGTTCTTCTGGGAAAAGAAATAATGCAATGATGGATGTTACTAAAAGGGAAAGCTGCTGATGCTGGACTGGGTAAGTAAGTCTTTTGGACTGTTTTTAGTGTTTACATTCTGTCTCCTTTTCCTTAAACATTTCTGCATTTTCATTGATATTTCATCCCAGGAACTACAGAATGCTCCATAAATTTTTATGTGGCATTTATTATGTCTCTGTGGAATACAGCATGGTCACTAGAGCTTCAGTCTATTAGTGAAAAGACATTAATTAAATAATTACACAAATGACATGACTAATTATAATTGTAATAAATGCTATGTGGGAAAAATTGATGGTACTTCTGAGAAGATTTCATAGGGGACTTGATCTGGTCAGAGGGGAAGTTGGGAGGAGTGCATCAGAGAATGCTTACCTGTAGAAATGGAATGTAAGCTGGGACCCAGAGGATGAAGAGGTAAGTAGAAGAGAAAAAGGGGGACAGGGATAGAGGAGATGGCCCAGAGAAGAGGGGTCTCATGAATGAAAACTTTGAAGAGCTTGATTCTTAGGAATGGAAATAGGGTCAGTGGAGCAGTACAATAAGTGAGAAAGGGAGAGAGTAGTGTAAAATGAGACTGGACGGGTAGTTAGGGGCCAGATCCCACAAGCTCAAAGACCATATTGAGAATTTTAAATTGCACCACAAAATAAATAATAAAATTTAAGCAGCATAGTGGTATGATTAGATTTACATTTTAGAAGATAAGTCTGACTACTCTAAAAAAAATAGATTAAAAAGGGGCAAGAAAAGGCAGGGGAAATTAGGTAGGCAGCTACTACAATTACATAGGTGAGTGTTGGTGGTGGCTTGGGTGATAGAGGACAAGAAGAAAAGTGGAAAGACATGTGCTATCTCTAAAAGGTACACTAGCAAGGTTTTATAGTGAACTAGAGGCCTGGTGCATGAAAGTCATGTGTGTGTGGGAGGGGGGGAGCAGCCTGCACCCTCTCCAATCTGGGACCCCTTGAGGGATATTCAACTGCCTGTTTACAGGGATCAGGCCATGGGGGTGTGGCCAGCCTGGGTGAGGGGCTGATGGCTGTTTGCAGGCTGGCCACACACCCCGGTGACCCAAGATCCCAGCCCCTCTTTTTTTCCTTTTCTTTTCTTTTTTATTTTATTTTCTTTTTTAGCACCTCCTTGAGCAGAGGCCAGGGCCAACTGGAAGCAGGTATCTGGGATTTATTTATTTTCTATAATTTAAACTTTATAGACTTAAGTGGAGGCCAGGGCTGGCCAGGGTGGGTGGGAAGCTTGGCTTCCTCCATCACCGGGGGAAACCAAGCCTCCTGCTCACTCCAGCTCCGTGGCCACTGCCATCTTTGTTGGGCTAATTTGCATATTTGCTCCTGATTGGCTGGTGGGTGTAGCAGAGTGATGGTAAATTTGCATGTTTCTCTTTTATTCGTGTAGATTAGAGGAAGAGAGTGGTAAGAGAGAGGGAGGTGTCAAGTATGATTTAGATTTATGGCATTAATAAGTGGGTGGATGATACACAGCACAAACACATAGATTTTTATGAACCGGGGTGTAAGGGCGCTGAATTCATGGTGCAAAAACACTCACTAGGTGTGTCTAGGTTCTGATTATAGTTCTGACACTATATTGGAAAATAATTTAGCCTTTCTGAGCTTCTGCAAACTACTAGGGTTAGATTATACTAGGAAGACTTTAGGGAAAAAAAAAAAAAAGCTATAGCAGAAAAACCATGCTTTGAAGTTAGACAGAGTTCAGCTTGAATATCAGCTCTTATGGTTACATCACCTTGGACAAACTACTTAAATTTAAGCCTCCTTCATTCATTCATCCATTTTTTCAGCATACAGTTATTGGCAGCCTGCTCTAGAAGCTGGGATACAGCAGTGAATAAAACAAAAGCCCTTACCCAAATAACTTCAACAGGGGCAATAGGCAGTAAAGTAGGTAATTTCAGATAGTAATTAATGTTGTGAAGAAAATAAAACATTAATGAAACTGAGAATAACCATGGGGGGGGGGTGCTACATTAGCCAGCATTGTTGGGTAATGCCACAATTGTCTCATTTGTTAAGTACAAGCAATAAAAGTACTGATCATAGTGTTGTTGGGAGGATCAAATGAGCTAATGCATGTAAGAAACTTAGAACAATGCCTGGCACATAATAAAGTTTTTTAATAATGATAGCTATTGATGCTTCTGCTATTGCCATTGTTACTATTAGGACATGTTTTTATGCAGGGAATTTTATTAACCGTGATTATATTTGTATGATATTTTCCTCAATTCTAGATTGCAAAACACACTAGGTTGCAAAAACAAGGGTCCAAATGAATTGTTTTATAATTCTATTTCCTCTCTTGTTCCTGGAGAAACCAACTGAACCGATAGGACAGAGAATGAGCATGAGGAAGGAGGAGAAATAAAGGAGCACAAAAAATTAACCAAGTATTTCAATGACAGATTCTTCTATGACTGCAAAATGGGTTAGTTTATAGGTATGGTTTGATTAAACTTGTCAATATATGGTGGTGGGAAAATTGAATAGGTACATGCAAAAAAAAAAAAAAAAAGAAAAGAAAGAAAGAAAGAAAGAAAGAAAGAAAGAAAGAAAGAAAGAAAGAAAAACTAG